TGTTTAAAAATTAACCATTTAGCACAAATAATCTAAATTATTGCACGCAACCAGTTATTACTTTACAAATTTTTCATATCATTTATGTTTATTTTTCAACCAACTTCAAAAAAAGAGAAAGTTCTCAAGTCGACTGTATTTTTTGTGTGTAGTGATCGCCTCTTGGCCACCATGCCATCACTACATTTAGAGGATTGAAAGAGATGCAGGAAATCAATGGAATGCAGGTGGTTCAAGACTATACTGTGATATTTCTTGACGGAGACCTATGTTCAGCAATGGACTTTTGAAAATCTGTAATAAACATATTAATGAATAAGCCGACTTACATTAAAAATAAAATGTTGTATTTTATCTAGTTTTAAGCATCCTCATATCCACAACTGCATGCATTATCACTTCCTCCACTAAATCCAACACCTGTACTCTAAGAATCTCACATCACCATTAATATTAATTAGCCATCATCAGGAGAATTAGTTTTAGTGATTGCCACAATAGAATTTAACATAGGCTTTCCCCAAAGAACACCTTGGGAGAGGCTTAAAGTAAAAAGTAAAGTTACAGCCTATATACGTCCCACTGCTGGGCACAGGCCTCCGCTCATTTCTGAGAGGGTTTTAGGGCAAGGAATTGTCCGCCGCGCTGCCCCAATGCGTGTTGGCGAACTTCACATGTCTTCGAAATATATTTTTTTATTTATTTCTCTGACATGCAGGTTTCCTCACGATGTTACAGCACGTGGTAAATCAGCACTTAAAATTGCAATTAACAATTTCATTGGTGCCGGCGGGGATCGAACCCGGTTTGCTCGCGTACTGTGAAATTTACAGCGAGCGCTAACCATCTGAGCTACCACGGCTCCTTTTGTACTTGTGATGAGCTATAATGATGATGAAAAGTGGGTAGACAAATACAATCAAGAACCTTTGAACTAATCTGATGGTTCTATTGCAGATATCTTTGTTATTAATTCAAGCTCACGGAGAAATTCCATATTGTGTAGGTTCCTCAATTGTTTCATAGCGACTTTCAGCTTCCTCATATGGAAATAGTGAAGAACCCATGTGTATTTATCAACATGTGCTATTCGCACATTTTTGTTTTGCCATTTTGAGGAAGACTATGTAATAATTTCTCAAAAACTATCCAGTCGTTTAGAATTTGTCTAATTGACCTTTTTTTCTTGGATATTGAAAGAGTTCTTGCTCGAAGTTTACTAAGACGGACAATTACTAGCAAAGATAATATGACAACTGACAAGGATGTAAACTTTCACCGTTAGGACAGTCCAGTAAAAAAATGAAGTGAATACTCAATAGTTATCAGTCAGACTATGTTACATGGTAGAGCCAAGCTGCAGTTATATTAGTAGTATAGTTTTAGCACGAAAGCCTTGCGAGCTACGTCATTTTGTTATGTTTCTGTTTCCTTCTTGGAATTTGGCCCAGGAGGTATTGAGTCGCGTTGACCAATAAAATAATTTATAATATGATCATAAGTTTAACTAAAATTATTTTTATGTTTTGGGCATTTATGATCGTTGGTTTACATACTTTCAGTCAAGAAATATAATATAGTATGTAGTATATTGATTGCATTTAATTAACTTTAATATATATATATATATATATATATATATATATATATATATATATATATGCTGCAGTTATATTAGTAGTATAGTTTTAGCACGAATGGGTCGGCTCGACCGGGGAAGAACCACACTCTCACGGAATACCAGCATCAAATAGTAGCTGCTGTGTTTCATATGGTGAGTATAGGGAACCGGAGAATCTTTTTACTGGAAATGAGGCATTCCATCTTTAGTCCTCACAGGTGACAATGCATCTGTATTTTGATTCGTAATTGAGGATAGATTTAGATGTCTATGGGCCACAGCAACCACTTACCATCAGGTGGACTGTGTGCTTGTTTGTCACCCTATCCTATAATTAATTTTTATATTTACATGTTTTTTATTTCCCGACGTTTTATGTGTTCCGGGAATCACGCATGCAGTTCCGAAACGCATATAAAATAAGTTAAATTTAAACGTGAAAAATCCGTAAAATTAATTTTATTCAACCTACAAACTAAACTAAAGTAATAAAATAACTTAATTACCTTATCTGACTGTAAATAACTATAACTGATAGTGATGTAAGTGATGTGATACTGAAACTGACACTGATTGAACATAGTATGCATTATGCTGATCCAGCATCAGCATAATTCATACTATGTTGATGTATGATGTATGTATCTCTCTCTCTTCTGCAGTGTCTATCCTAGACGGCCCCAACCATTACATCAGATTTGATAGACCACAAATCCTCGCGAAAGAACATCGATTCCTACCAAGGATGATACGTGAGGCTATTGAAATTAAAAAACATCCTAATTTCAATAGAGAAGGAGGCTGAGTACTACCACCTGCTTGGGATCCTATAATCAATAAAATTAAAACTAAACCCAAGCATACCACTGCAAGACCTCAGGACATAGTCAGTTCATTTTGCATAGATCGGACCATAAACAATAATTAAAAAAGCTGAAGGTTCTCCGGGTTTAACAATGACATCGGGACGTCAGTCATCTCAGTCCCCCGTGACCATGGGTGCTGGAAAGCGCCCGAAACGTCGGGAATTAAAAATAAAAAGTAAAAATAAACGCGATAAAATCCGTAAAAGTAGTTTTAATCAAAGAGTATCTTGTAATACGACAGATTATATGTCAAATATAATAAAAAATAAAAATGTCATGTGAAGCACAATGAATGCCCGCAGGCCGCTACCACAGTCACATTTGAACTGACACAATACGCGTCAATATAATGATTTAATTAAATGCAATAGAATCCGTAAATTTAGTTTTATTCAATACGCGTCAAGCTAGATTAGTGGTGACGCAAACTAATTGCACCTGTTCACGTATTCGCGAAGGACACCTCTCCCTTGGCGGATTAGTAGCGTGACTCGAATCTATGTACAAGTTACAGAAATTACAAGGGAGGATCGACTAGCCAGGGGCCGGATTACCGGAGTCTAGTGTAGGCTTTTTTAATCATGGGGAGGAGTAAACATTTCTCGAGATAGGCTTAAATAACAGCACGGTAGAGGGCCCACAGAGTTCCTATAACCCGTCATTGAATCTTTTGTTTTACCACTGTGGGGTTTTAGTCGATATGAGTCTATGACCGGCTTACTTATTCTGTAGGAGTCCGATACAACCTGCTTGCTTCCCTCATATAGGGCTTTCCTCACATATAAAATAGCTGTACATAGGTCAGTCCATTGCTCGTCTGATCTATCATAGCACTCGTAATAATCCCAGCTTGATCCCCAATGCCACGCACCACTAAAACTGTTAGTTGTAATTTTAGGTTCTGATTTACCACGTGCTTTTTTTTTTTTTTTTTTTTTTTTTTTTATAGAAGAGGGGGCAAACGAGCATGTGGCTCACCTGATGTTAAGTGACTACCGCCGCCCATGATCAACCGCAACACCAGGGGAATTGCAGGTGCGTTGCCGGCCCTTTAGAAAGGAGTAAGCTCTTTTCTTGAAGGTCCCCAGGTGCTGAAGAGGTCATGGTCCTTAAGCAGGATGTATGTGAAAAGAGATGTTAAAAATTAATTAGCTATTAAAAATTAAAATTCGCGTAGTAAAATAAAATAGTGCGTCTTACCTAGTTTGAAGAGTAGCTCCCGCTCATCTTCAATTATTGCGTGCTTTGTCCTCGACATCTAGGTGCACCGCAGGTCTCGTTTATAGGCGCAACACGTGTATTATCGACGGTGGTGTCTTTCCTAGTGTGTTGGGACTATTAGTGCTGGGATTAATGGTGACGGGATTAATTATGTATGATATTTCGAGGATCTTGTGAACATCATCAGAAATATTTGTTTCAAAATTAAAGATGTAAAAATTAATTAGCTAATGTGTGCGTGACCATCACAAGTGTTGTTAGGTTTTGTGGACGCAGTTGTTAGGGGGGGAATGTAGTTTTCAAACTAGATTCTATTCACTATTTTATTTTTAATATACATCGATCACTAATAAAGAACGTTTTTTATTAGTGATCGATGTTAATATAGATCTATTCTGTTAAGTCTCGTGCTGTGTCTATCACTTAACCCTCGGTCACACGCAGCGAATGCGTTCGCCGCAAGTATTCACTCCTGCCTGCTACAGCGAGTTCTACAGGAGAATTTCTGAGACTGGTGCGTACAAATAAGTCATCTGTAACGTCTGTTCATAGCAGGATTAAATACTGTATTCGGTTGGCCTGTGCAGAGTTGGCAAACCAAACGCATGAAATGAAATGAAATTACTGTTGTTTGTGTCCCACAGCTCTTCGTATTTTCTATAGACACCAAAAAAAAACGAACTATGTCGTTATTTGCCCACTTCAGTAAATCTTTTTTTTGGTTGGCTCATTATAAGTTCTCGTATATATGCAACGGCGAAGTAGCACTGATATGTAGTCCGGAGCGGTGCGCTAAGCGGAATGGCTATTCGTAGCGAGCGAGTCAGTGACTACCCTGTCACACACAGCGAATAGTCACGGCGAGTGTGCATTCACAGCGAGTAAAATTGAACATGTTCAATTCAATTCGCGGAGATTAAATCTATTCGCGGGGAATTGCATGTCACACACACACAGCGAATACTTGTTGCAAGTTCCTACTCGCCGCAAGTTCCTACTTGCCGCGAGTATACGCTGCGAGTTCCTACTCGCCGCGAGTATACGCGTGTGACTGAGGCTTTAGTCATAGTAACTGTGACACCACGAGACTTAACGAATTAAAATGGAGTAGCGTTTAAGTATTTGGCCATTAGGTAATCAATTAATTTTCACATCTTCAGTATAAGAAATTTCTGCAAGGTAGCCTGATTCTATTAGGTGTTTTAAAATTTTGTAGATTCATTAGCAATTAATTGGGAGGATTACTTAGTATGTAATTTTTCACTACTTTAACACATTAACTTTTGTTACAGGTTTAACCCGGCGTTCAATATTGCTACCATAAAACAAGTGGTAAATGAGGCTATTGAGAGAGGTGAGCATCTTATAATGTATACGTGCAATATGTAAAGGCTCCTGTACACGTTGGCCTAGCGCGCTCGTGTTGTTTTCGTGGTACCGTTCACACATTGGCGTGTTTCGTTCTGCGTTCATGCGTTGGTAGCTAGATGAAGAGGGACGTTAGGGCGATCGCAGCCACTGCAATGCAATATACTTGTACAGATCATACAAATTTTATTTAGATAACACCAGAGAAGAGTGATTAATAAAAGATGGCGCAAAAGAAGATGGTCGATTGTGTTAATAATAATCAATGAACCTATATATTTCCTCATTAGTCTATGTCGCCATGTTCGTGAAACAATTTTATTGAGCCGACACTATCTACTCCAACGCATAACTATGAACTGAACACTCGGCCAACGTGTGATCGCTGTTTACGGCCTGCGCCAAATTTCTTTGATTGCTGCACGGAATACCGACACTATTCGGCTTGTCGGCGAGTGTTGGCCGCAAATGCCAAATATAGTAAGGGATACATGCCCCACTTTTTGAAACACCCTCCTAATTTAAAAAAAAAAACAATTTTATATAAATAATGTCTTATGAATTTAGCTAGTTTAATCCTTTATGTTTAACTGTGATTTATATTTTCGGACATATAAATTACAGATTTTGCAAATATTTAGTTTTTGTGGAACGCCTTTTTTGGGGATAGAAGCCTACCCGTATGGATAGTTGCGCCACCATGAAATTACTAAGAAGGATAGATGCCTGCGGTGCGGTATAGATACCCTGCATACTGTATAAACGAAAAACTCAACCAAACTTTTATGAGGTTTTGAGGACAATTGGTGTTTTAGCAGTAGAAGTTACTCCTAAAACAGAAATTGTTTACAAGAAACATGGGGCTAATAATGAAAAGCATTTTGCAGTTTTTAATTTTTTTTTCAATTGTCATCGTTATCATATAATTCTACACAATTTGAGATCAAATAAAATAACCATACTTACTAAAAACATTTGTTCAACAAAGATAAAAATTCTTATTAAATATTAATCATTATAGGTAGACCGCTCCCCTGTGTACCGCAGGCGAAGTTTCAATGAAGGGGTTTTACCTATAAATTTCAAAATGCATAATCATAAAAGTCATTCAAAAAAAAAATACAATAAAGATCTTTATTTTGTAATCCTACTTAAATTATGCTTAGTCGGATAGTGCTTTCCGTTTTCCACATCTTTAGCAATAATTTTTGAAAAGTGTACAGGTTTCATGTAGCCAGTTCTACATTTTACACATTGAATCTAGTCGGATTGAGACTTCGTTTGTTTATAGTTTTCAGAACATTCTATGCAGTTATCTTTATTTGTATCTTTAGGCTTATCCTGGGCATCTCTCTTTTAGTGTTCTTTACCGGCAACTATCCTTTTTGATAGGGATAGATGCCCAAGTATTTAAAAAAAAATAAAAAACAAAAGAGCAACTGTTTACATCTAGATGCATACTTGATGAATCAGTTTATTGACGTAATAAATATTATAACGGAATTACTACTTTTAAAGTAATACAACAGCAAATACTAACCTTTAAAACTTTGACGTGTTTGTAAAGTTCGCCGCGGACATGAATGCACACATGAGCGAAACACGTCCTCACCACACGACGGCCCTTGGTCGTGACTAACAGGTGCGGGGTGCCTTCGGCTCTTAGTTATAATATTATTTCTTAGTCGCGAGTTTGGGAAGTTAGGTTTTTTGAAAATGAGGCAACTAACTCCCACTGGGGCATATATCCCGCCTTTACCATATGTACACACTAAACGGACCACTACATGTTGGCCGAACGCACTCGGCGAGCCCGTTCGGCCAACGTGTACTGTTAATTTATGATGGCTAAGTAAACAGGTAACGCCACCTTGATGTCGATATTCACACAATACATTCGAATATTTTTAAATTCGTTTTACACTGGACGCATGGTGCGAGTATACTCGATGACTGGACTTAATAGTGGCTACAGATAATATTTTTTCAATTGATATTCACTGATTTAGTAATATGTAGATAATGTGGTGTTTGGGCATATTTGCAGTTCTTCTTTTTTTCATTGAAATAAACTGATTTATTTGTAGCTAACAAAGTAATTTTAGTTTGAGATTATTGCTTACAAATCAAGACTTATTTTCTACAGCCACTAACTTTTGATTTTAGTAAAGCTATAGCTTAACATTTACTCCTAATACTAATTTGTTCAATAAAATCTTAAGACCGTTTGGAACTCATTGTCAGGGTGGTCTAACCCATTTGGCCGCATCAAGCCCTTAGAGCTGAGAATAAAACTAACAAAATATAAGTACATAAATATTATTTTTTTAGTTATTATTTCCCTGAAAACGTATTTTACGAGACATAGAAAAATGTTTTTTCCGATGAGACGGAAGCTAAAAGGTTTGACATCCCTGTTTAGTGAGGGATTTTTACTCATGTTACTTTATATTGGGTGTAGGGATATAAGTACGCTTTACTACCAGGGTTTGATACGCCCCTGCATTATATAACCTCTGGCAATGCTTATTTTTTATCCTTTAAAAACAATTAACAAATTAGCCAATCGGAAGTTCTCTTCTTTTCCTTTTTTTGCTATATACATATTAACTAAGCTATATTTATGTAAAGGTTCCTGTACTAATAAAACCGTATTTATTTTACTAACCGCACCAATTTTCACGTAGTTTTCGCTTCTGAGCGGCTAAAACACTTCTGGCTTCCTATTTTCTATATTAACATGTAAACAAATGCACTGATCAAGGCTTTCTGTGTGTGTGTCGTCCGTAACAGTCGCACCGGTTTCAGTGCGGATGCCCACGCCCACGCGGTTGCGAGACTTGATCCGCCAGATACGCGCCGCGAGAACAGCAGCAGAGGAGAGGAGTGTCGTGAACAAGGAGTGCGCGTATATACGTTCCACGTTCAGAGAGGAGGACAGCGTTTGGAGGTAGAATGCCAATTTGACATCTGGCTTTATTATTTTATTGGAAATAGAAATTCTAATTTAACACACACATTTAGTGCCAATATAATTCAAATATATGCCCGTTAAAATTTGAGGTCGTAATAACGAATTAATGAAGAAGTATATAATATTTGAAGTCAATCGGAAGTGTAGACTATATAAAAAATATTATAAACTGACATATCAAAGTTATTTTTAGGTACATATAAATTACACATTAGAGGTTTGGGTTAAAATTCCTTTATATGTCAATAACTTAGGAAAAGCTAGAATATGAACTAAAGGGCTGTAGAGTTTGCAACAAATCGCATATAAATATGTAAGACGTGTGTGCTGGAGATCGGTGAAACGCGACGGCTAATTACAATTTATATATATATATATATATATATATATATATATATATATATATATATATATGTAGGGGGATAAGTCGCTCGCGTCCGTAGGCTCTGACCACCTATTCCTAGGCCCACCCTACACGTGTCCCCCGGGTGGTGCTAAATGAGCGACAAGCCGATAGCACAGACTCGGCTCCACGCCCTGGTAGAGGCGTAAAATATACCACCCTTTATCCGCACCATGAGGAACAATATAATAGAAATGGCCCCGAGTTCCCGGCGCCCCTTTAATGGGGCAGGGGTGCGAAGAATCTCCGGGAGGAAAACCGGCGACGAGGTTCGCCACCCGTCACGTTCTGTCTCCCGGAGAGGCGAAAAGTGGATTGCAGAGGTCCGTCTGGCTACGTTGAATGTATGTGGGGCAATGAATGATAAAATGGATGAAGTATGCGATATGATGAATGATAGAGGAATAGATGTGTTATGTGTAAATGAGACGAAAAGGAAGGGAAAGGATGTCACTACACATGGCATGTATACCGCATACTGGTCTGGTGTAGACGAGATCGAGCGGGCATGCCAGGGAGTAGGTATCATCCTTTCAGAAAGAATGGGCCAATGTGTGAAAGAGTATGAATGTGTAAGCCCAAGACTGCTGTGGATACGAATGAAAGTGGGCTTAAAGAAGTTGTTTGTGTTAGGGGTCTACGCCCCAGACATGTCTAAGCCCACTTATATCCGAGAGCAGTTTTGGGAAATGGTAAGGATGGTGTTAATGGAGTGTAAGGGAAATGAAAATATTATTATGCTAGGAGATTTTAATGGAAGGGTTGGGGTGAGGAGGCTTGGTTATGAAAGGATATTGGGAACGTTTGGTGATGAAAGTATAAATGAGAATGGTGAAAGTCTCCTCACCGTATGTATGGAAAAGAATCTTTTTGTGACGAACACTTGCTTTCGCCACAAGAGGATTCACATGTATACTTGGGAAAGAGGTGACGATAGAAGCATGATAGATTTAATAATTGTGGATGAAAGATTGAGGGGCGCAGTTGTAGATACAAGGGTTTACCGGGGTTCTAACGTAGGAACGGATCATTATTTGGTTCTATGCCGAATTAATGGTCTATTCAGGCGTTGGCGCCATCGGTCATCTGTGTCTACCACTGCGTTACAGCGTATTAGAACAGAAAGGTTACAAGATGAAGGTGAGAAAAAAGAAGTTCAAATGTAGACTGAAAGAAAATATAAGTGGTTTGGATGAATTATGTATGAAGGAGTTAGACTTGGAGAATGTATGGCAAAATGTAAAGAAAGGTTTAGTGGATGCAGCTACCGAAGTATGTGGTGTTAGTAAGAGAAAGAATGAAAGGAAAAATAATACGTTATGGTGGGATGATGAGGTACGTATGGAAGTTGAAGCAAAGAAGAGAGCATGGCTAGATTTACTAGCAACAAAGGCTGGTAATTCTAGCGGTACGAATGATGATATTGAAAGAAAAAAGGCAGTCTTTAGACATCTTAATAAGAGAGTAAAAGAAGTAGTTGAAAGAAAAAAGCAAGAAAGAACGGATAAGAATGATAGAAGAATATCGGATAATTTCCAGGCAAATATTAAAATGTTCTGGAAACTTGTAAGAACTGCCAGGGGACATTCAAAACAGCCTATGATGAATGCTATAAGAGACGAGAATGGCTATATTCTGAATGATGAAGTTTTGAGTTTAAAGAGATGGAAGGAATATTTTGAAAGCGTGTTTATGAGTGAGGAGACAACGTGTGTACTAAGTGAAGTAGAAATTCCGAAGGAAGAGGAAAGAGGTAGCGAGATTAGTGTAGGTGAAATAATGAAAGCAATGAAAAGCATGAAAGCAGGTAAGGCTGCCGGATATGATAGAGTTTCACTCGAAATGCTAAGGGCTGGAGAGGAAGTGGTGGCAGGCCTGCTGCACACCTTGTTTAATTTATGCTGGGAACTGAAGCGGGTACCGGTAGACTGGTGCAAAGCCGTGATAGTCCCAGTATATAAGGGAAAAGGGTCGCAGCAGGACTGTAAAAACTACCGTGGCATCAGCCTTCTTAGCATTGTGGGAAAACTGTATGCTAAGGTACTGATTGAAAGGGTCATGAAAGAAACTGATGGAAAAATTTGGGATGTGCAAGCAGGATTTAGAAAGGGAATGGGATGTACAGATCAAGTCTTTTCCATGCGCATGATCGCGGAGAAGTTTTTGGCCAAAAACCAAAAGGTTTTTTGTGCGTTCATGGACTTGGAAAAGGCCTATGACAGAGTGAATAGGGATGTGCTATGGCAAACACTGAACTCATTTGGGTTGAGCGCTGGCTTGATACGGGCATTGGAGTCCCTTTATAGGGACTCTAGTGCTTGTGTTAGGATCAACGGGGTCTACTCGGACTGGTTTGACATCCATAAAGGTGTCAGACAGGGCTGTGTAGCTTCCCCGTGGCTGTTCAACCTATTTATGGACAGTTGTTTGCAAAATTTGAAAGTTGAAGAATGCGGATTAAGAATGGGTGAGTTAACCGTCAAATGCCTTTTGTACGCCGATGATCAAGTTATACTTGCGTCGTCGGCGGCCGAGTTGCAAATGATGGTTACATTAATGAACAGATCATTAAAAGAAAGGGGTATGAAAGTGAACGCAAGTAAGACGAAGGTTATGGTTTTTGAAAGAGAAGAAAGTAAAACGATTTGTGAAATAAGAATAGAAGGGGAGTTGATCGAGCAAGTAGACGAGTTTGTATATTTGGGCTGCGTATTTAGCAGGGATGGGAGATATGATAAGGATATAGAACGACGAGTGAATGCGGGAAATAGAGTAAATGGGGCCCTGCACTCTATTGTGAAGAGTCAAAATGTGTCGAAAAAGGCACGTATGGCAATTCACAATGCTGTGTTGGTCCCTACTTTAACATATGGTAGTGAAAGTTGGGTGTGGCAGAAGAAGCACGAGAGTAGAATGAACGCAGTAGAAATGCGGTCGTTAAGGAGTATGTTAGGGCTGAATCTTAATGACAGGGTAAGAAATTGTGTAATAAGAGAAGAGTGTGGTTTGCAAGATGATGTTGTGACCAGGATTAAGAAAGGAATGCTTCGGTGGTTTGGTCATGTGGAAAGAATGAATGAGGAAAGAGTGACAAAGAAAATTTATGTTGCAGAAGTGAATGGTAGAGTCGGAAAGGGACGTCCTAGGCGAAAATTTATCGACCAAATTGGCGATTTATTGAAAACGGGCCAAATTAGGAGTACCCTTAACCGACGAGCATGTATGCGGAGGTGTATGGATGTGAAGGAGGCGAGAGAGGTGTGTCAGGATCGTGCCAAATGGAAGTCTGTAGTCTCTGCCTACCCCTCTGGGTGACAGGCGTGAGTGTTTATGTTATGTTATGTATATATATATGTCATCATCGGTCAATTGTACGTACAATCGTCTTATCCATCGATCATTAATAAAAGATTAGTGATCGATGGTCTTATCAAGAGCAACGTAATCACTAAGTGAACGTTTAAACGTCTTCTGTCTTCTCTGCCTTCCAGACCTTGCCTCTTATTTTCTCCTGTCATCCTTTAACTTGCACATGGATAATAACATGAGAATACGAACAGAGTAAACAAAGGTATCTCATTATAGTCAAAATTAATTTAGAACAGAAATAACAAAGTAACATTCGTTTCCTAAATAAATATAAGCTTTACCTCATGGAAAATCGAGTAGCGTAGCGTTATAAACTGTTTCAAAGGCACTAAGTTTGTCAAGATACTTGTAACAGTTTTACCGACTTTCACTTTGATACGTTAGAGTTTGAAGTTCAATATAATATTCATTCAGAAGTTTGCTACTATTAAAAGTTACTGAGCGGACTACTCCATCGACATCACGCTACGGAACAGTTAGGCGATATGATGGCAATGGACATTTAATGTTATGCAATATTTTGTTCGCAATTAAAATCCACCGAAAAGTTACTTTCTTTATTATTTATGTGCCGGACGGGCGAAACTCTCCGGAGTAAATGTTGTCGAAGATACTTTGCGAGTCGCTCACGTCCTACACCTATAGGTTCCGGTGGGTACTTTCACTGCCGTCTTTGTGGGTGCCGCTGAGATATTGTGGACTGAGGTTCAAATCAAAATGCACGATTAATAAATACAAATAGCAAGATGGCCAGCGGTTCGACTGATTGATTAGTCGCGAAATTTTATAACTGTTGTTTATTGACCACGGTTGTTGAACTACGGTTGTTCACTGTATATTTCAAAAGATTTCTTTAAATTTTACGGTAGTATCAAATATCTATTGGTAGTAGCTGGTTTTCTAACACTACTAACTAGCAGCTATTATCAACTAAACTAGCTGATTTTATCACTTGTGTAACTGCGGATATCAGTTACCACTTTCACTATATGTAACTGCGAATATCAGTTACGACCTTTTTCAGCTAGCTAACACTTTCACTATATGTAACTGCGAATATCAGTTACGACCTTTTTCGGCTAGCTAACACTTTCACTATATTTAACTGCGAATATCAGTTACGACCTTTTTCGGCTAGCTAACACTTTCACTATATGTAACTGCGAATATCAGTTACGACCTTTTTCGGCTAGCTAACACTTTCACTATATTTAACTGCGAATATCAGTTACGACCTTTTTCGGCTAGCTAACACTTTCACTATATTTAACTGCGAATATCAGTTACGACCTTTTTCGGTTAGCTAACACTTTCACTATATGTAACTGCGAATATCAGTTACGACCTTTTTCGGCTAGCTAACACTTTCACTATTCACTATATACTGCTACTAGTCACTTCAGCTACTACCGGATACTACTGCTTGTCACTGGTAGTTCTTCACACTACTACTTCTACTGGGTCCCGAGCCCCTAAGGTAGACTTTGGCTATACTTTACAGTGAGCCGCTTGCCATTTTCCGTTTTGCCTCTTTATTGCATAAACTTTTCACTATGCAAATGGCATAAATTACAATATTTTCTATACAAAACTAATTGCTACACTAACATGCTATACATCATCAAATCGGTAGTCTGGTACTTTATTAGTATATCATAAAGGTTACTCAAAACATTGATATTGTAAAAAGTTATTAAACGAAATGTCCCAAATTTTCATAATATTTGGGTACATTAATTCTTTGATTTTTCTATAACTACGAAATGCGTTTATACAAAATATTCCTATACTTCCTTAATCTATAAGCCATATGCTAATTCAATGTCATATTTACAACTCTTTTAGAACATAAAATTATTTTCATTATTTTTAGTATGACGCGCTGTGATTGGTCGATTTTTCTTAATATAATAAAAGTTGTTTATATCACTTGTTATCAAAACGACATTCTATACAAATATACTGAGTTATAAACATGTTATACAACTATATCAATACACGTTTTCACCCAGTTTTATCGGTAATTTCACTATTAATACAAAAAACAATATTCTTTATGACTTTGTTTCTTAGCGTTGTTAGGCCGTCGCGAACAATTCATTTGTTTATGTTAAAAATAATACCATTTTGGCGTAATGTCGGACTTGTTTCACTAAGCTGATTCTAAATTTCAGTTGGGTTTTAGTTGAAATGTTTTCGAAATTTACAAAACTGTGGCTGTAATTCATCCGAGACCAATGTTATATTTATTTGTATTTTGAAATGTTGCTTAAAATATTCTTCCGCTACTTCATCAACTCGTAAAATGCCCACTGACTGACATGGGCCTCTACTGTTGTGGAGATAATTTTTCTTCATCGTAACGCTGAGCATCGGAAAGTTGCATCATGATTCAATAGAGCCTAAAACTGCTGGACATAGGCCTCCCCAGCAGTGGGATTTTGTCATAGTTGACGTTGACACGCCGGGTAGGTGGGTTGTCAACCGCAGTTTTTTATTTTCAGCTGTTACCAGGAAATTGCTGCTGCCGATCTCCTGTTTCAGAAGTCTGACATAAAAAAATCTTTTTGACATTTTCCCTGACCCCAGTTGCTTCTTACAACACCCACGGAACAAAATAGCGTAATGGATTATATTAATATATTAAATGATTATTATTTTCTTTTTTACCCATTAACCTCATCTGAATTGTTAAAAAAATCCTGACTTGGCCTCCCAAAAGGACATTTGAAAAAAAAGTTGAAATAACTCCTATTAAATAGATCATATATTACTCTGAATTTCATGCAAATCTTCCAAATATCCTTTAAAATAAATGTTCCTCACATCTATTTTTTCATTCAACTCCCAATTTATAAAATAATAAATTTTTATACAGATGTCGAAACATCGCGAAGCTCCTATACATCCACATGCTGGGCTATCCAGCGCACTTTGGTCAACTGGAATGTCTGAAATTGATCGCCAGCCCGCGGTTTACCGACAAGAGAGTCGGTTACCTTGGCGCAATGTTGCTGCTGGATGAGCGGCAAGATGTCCACTTACTTATCACTAACTGCTTAAAAAAGTAAGTAATGTTTTTTTATTTATAATTAGTGTGTAAGAAAATCCCAAGGTAGCTTTGTTAAAGTGATTCAGCTGGGATTTGCTAATAACATTGTGCTACTAAAGTTGAACCGCGGTAGTCCGACGAACGTTTTGCAAGGTGGTGTCGGATTATCAAATTAGTCGGACTATAGGGTACTGCCACAGCCCCCTGGTGGTCTGGCACTTTTTCATAAAGAGTACCTTATAATCTGACAAATTACATGTCAAATATAAAGTAATAAAAATTTAAAAGTCATCTGATGCACAGTGAATACCAACAGTAAATGGTGAATGCCTGTACCTGTTTGTCCACGTATTCGCGAAAGATATTTCACCCCGTGGCGGATGCATAACGCTACTTGATTGTACCTACATGTTAAAGGCATGTCGGATTACAAAGGGTGCGGATTAGCCAGGGGTCGTATTACCGGGGTCCATTATATTTATACTGCCATAATAATGCTAAGGATAATTAGTGAACCTTTTGCTAATAGTGACTACCGAGACCTAATCATGTTGTCCAGAGGTGACAATCCGTTCGCATTTTGAATTTTAAATAATCGCTTGCCATCACATTACCTTTAGCATAGGTTTTATCATTAAAAATAGTTTATAATTAGTCTTTGGTTTAAACTAAAATCTGATTCAATAAAGAAATACCGTGGTAAATTCCTGAACTAAAATTTAAAATATGAACTTTAACAAAAAATGTCTAATTTCGTGAAGAAGACTGAGGCTTCGAGGCTAAGGCACTTCTTTCTAATTTAAACCCGAGACTATCGATAACTATTTATTTAATAAGATGGTGTATGTCATCATTCGATGTTTCCAAGACTTTGTATAAGAAGACATAGGAAACCTAGTATTAGTGGCATATCTCTCTTGAACTCGCCTTGAGCTATATAATGGTTGTAGCATGAATGGGTCGGCTCAATTGGGTATGAACACGCTCTTACAGAATACCGGCTTAAAGCTGCTGTGTTTTGTATGGTAAGTGTAGAGAACCGGAGATCCTTTTTACTGGAATCAAAGCATTCCATCTTAGTCATCAGAAGTGACAAAACATCTGCATTTTGATTCTTAATAGAGCATACATGTAGATGTCTATGAGCCACAGCATCCACTTACATCAGGTGGATTATGTGCTCTTTTGTCACTCTTATTCTATAAAAAAAAATTGTCAGATTTTCTCTAAATGTCTCACCCGCACTTAGCGACTGGCAGCAAAAAATCTATTCGACAATCCATATGCCAAATTCTCATCCTACTTTATGGTGATGGAAAGCAGCATGACTGTTATGAAAGTTTCGTCTCTACGCTTAACAAGCTGTCTCCTTCTTCTCTACCAATCAGCCCATAACAGTCCACCCCTGGACATAATCGTTTACGATCATAACGAGGATTCTGACTTGCTAAAACGAAATCAGTTAAAAAAGTATCTATATATTTTATTAGTATGTACATGAATAAGACGTGATCCGAATAAGAATATTCCGAAGGGTGTAGGACGCAATGTTTGCCTGACCCAGCAAACACTTATGCCACATGTTCGATATACACAATTTGCTGCCAAAGGACAGTATAAGGCTTTCGTTTCACCATAAAGGCTGAAAAGCTGAGCTCATGAAAAATTTTAATATTAGTAAGAATAAAACACTGGCACTTTCGATTTGGAAAAAGATTATTTATGAGAAAAATGGACTGGCTGGATTTACAAGGCAATAATGTTACAAAAACACTACGAAAATTGAGTACCAACGATACACATTACAAAAATATGATCTAGGTTCTAGGGCATCATTGCGTGTTGCTTAAGTTTTTTTACTCATCTTTTTTAATTTATGACGTCTTGATAGGATTATGTTAATGTCAAGTTAGATTTTTCATTCTTGTATTATTAAATTAATAATTGCACACACATATAAACGATAAACGTTATTTATTTGATTTTACTTAAATTGATCAAAAGCACAAATTACTTTCATTAATAGACTCAGACCCAAATGTGTTAACATTCGTTAGGACAATTTCAGTCTAAAATATACCATAAATTTATATTAAAATATATAAAATAACACAACATCGCAGCTAATCTAACAGTCTACTTAAAGACTTGCGACTTCGATTTTTTCCTCCTTATTTCGTAAACACTTTCGTGCAAATTCCGCATTGTCGTGCGAATCCTACTAACGGCTGTAGTCAGAATAAACTCGACTTATTTGTTTTCTATGTTTACTCATAAGTTTTTTTATTACATTCACATGCTAATTATGTTTATGTATTAGGTATACCATATCTATATGTATATAAAAAAACACTCGACTTTTTGTTTGGCATTGGCATTAATTATGTATGTGCTTTTTCTCTTTCTTAAGTTGTTGGAGGTGGTTATTTAAAAGTTTGGTTTTATAGGTTTTTCTTTAATTTAGCGTCTAAATATTAAACAGACAGAGAAAAAACTTTATTTGTGGGATCGTACGTTTAAACAATGATACATGCTAACAGTTGTTGTGTCCTTATATTTTATAATCTTTAAATAAAAAACAATATGAAAAATAATGAATAATTTTACTGTCGTAGTTCTTATCTTAGTCAAGTTTCATGGCTAAAATAGATTAGAAATATAAGTAACGTACGTAATATATGTAAAGATATTTAGAAATTAGCCCTGGTAATTTCATAGTACTCTGGCTACACGAGGTCGAAACCTTCATTCATACTTAGTAAGTAAGTAAGTTACAGCCTATATACGTCCCACTGCTGGGCACAGGCCTCCCCTCACTTCTGAGAGGGTTTTAGTACAAGGAAGTGTCCGCCGCGCTATCCCAATGCCTGTTGGCGAACTTCACATGTCTTCGATATATTTTTTTCTTATTCCTCAGACATGTAGATTTCCTCACGATGTTTTCCTTCACCGCCGAGCACGTGGTAAATCAGAACTTAAAATTGCAACTAACAATTTCATTGGTGCCGGCGGGGATCGATCCCGGGTTACTCGCGTTCTGTTATATTTACAGCGAGCGTTAACCATCTGAACTACCACGGCTCTTTTCATCCATATCTTTTCATTTTCATCCATAGTTAAAAAGTAAATATTTTGTGGATATGTGAAGTAGGTACGCTTACCCGCACTAGAACAGCGAGGCAGACTAACTGCTCGAATAACCCTCTCATAAATTAGAGAAGTTTTAGCTAGCAGAGGAACATATTTTGCCTATAAATTCACTTAGTATAAGAATTATTAGATTAACATTTTTATGTGGTTATTTAGTATGAAATATTTTTAACGAAGCCGATTCATAAACACTTGAAAAGTGTACAAATATTTGCATTGGTTACGACCACGAGGGTTACAATAATTAAAAATAATTTTTAAATTAAAAATATAAAAATTTTATTTTATTTTATTAAGTGATGCATTACACGCCTCTGCACTTACGCCGTTTCCATTCTTATCGATAATCTTTAACATACTACTCTGTGTAAAAAGTATCGGGAATATGTCAATAAAAAGACCCGCGTAAAAGAGGTCGTTCTAATTTTTTTACTGCATGTTGGTAGCACTGTACTGATTTAGCGCGCAAATTTTGAGCGGGATCTGTCATTTAATTTGTTTTAAACTACACTTTTTGTTGGCCATAGTTTTGAGTTCTCGGCGATTTTTACAATGGAAAATATTTTTGAACAGTGTGCCTTAAATTTTGTGTTTCGAATGATATTTCATGTGGTGAATCACTAAAAATGTTGCGAAATACCTACGGCGAATCGTGTATATCGAAAACAAGGGCTTATGAATGGTATAAGGCTTTTAAAGAAGGCCGAGAAGTAGTAGTAGACTTGCCTCGTTCTGGTAGACCTTCAACCGCTACGACCAAAGAAAACATCGACAAAATCAAGAAGCTAGTGCTCGAAAATCGACGTATGAGTCTGAGAGAGTTGGCTAGTGAGGTGAACATATCTTTTAAGTCCGTCCACAACATTCTCATTGACATTTTAGTCATGAAACGCGTCGCCGCTCGACTAGTTCCAAAAGAGCTCAATTTTGTTCAAAGAGCGCAGCGAAAGCATGTCGCTGAAGACATGGTTTCCCGAGCTTCTACGGATCCGACCTTTATGAAACGTATAATAACTGGCGACGAGACATGGGTTTATGAGTACGACATGCAAACAAGCCAACAGTCTTCAGAATGGCGTCTCGAAAACGAGCCGAAACCCAAAAAACCGCGGCAAAGTCGCTCCAAAATCAAGGTGATGCTGACAGTTTTTTTTGACTACCGTGATGTGGTTCACTCCGAATTCCTTCCAAAGAGAGAAACAGTGAATAAAGAATATTATTTAGGCGTCATGAAGCGTTTGCGTGAGAGTATCCGCCGAAAACGTCCAGATTTGTGGCAACACAACTCATGGATGCTGCACCATGATAATGCACTATCACAACACACAGCCATTATAGTGAAAGAGTTTTTAGCGAAAAATTCAACAAAAGTTCTCGACCAAGCACCGTATTCACCTGATATGGCTCCGTCTGACTTTTTTTTATTTCCCAAGTTAAAATTACCACTTCGAGGAAAACGTTTTGAGTCGATAGAAGCCATAACAAAAAATTTGCTGAATGAGCTAAAGGCCATACCGCAAATAGCCTATGAAAAATGTATGGAAGACTGGGTGAAGCGTTGGAGATGTTGTATTGCAAAGCGATGGGGCCTACTTTGAAGGCGATAAAATAAATTTAGATGAATAATTTGTATTTTTTGTTTTATTGACAAATTCCCGATATTTAGTACACAGAAGGTATTATTTCCAAATCTAATTTTCTGCTAAAGTAAACAAAGTTTAACTACTCTTATATGATGCTAAATATTTAAAATGCAATACTGTGTGATGGTGGCGTATGTGTATATGCATCCTTTCGTCCCCGACGACCCTTTTTCGTCTCGTAGATGTCGTATGAGATGACTATGGAATATGGAAACCTAAGAAGAAAGAAAGAATCAGAAACGTACTTAAAAGGTGGTGTGAAAGCATCTAACTATAAAATATAAATTTTTAATATATTTTTATTAAAGAATATTGAATCTGAACGACAGGGTAAGAAATTGTGTAATAAGAGAAGAGTGTGGTTTGCAAGATGATGTTGTGACCAGGATTAAGAAAGGAATGCTTCTGTGGTTTGGTCATGTGGAAAGAATGAATGAGGAAAGAGTGACAAAGAAAATTTATGTTGCAGAAGTGAATGGCAGAGTCGGAAAGGGACGTCCTAGGCGAAAATTTATCGACCAAATTGGCGATTTATTGAAAACGGGCCAAATTAGGAGTACCCTTAACCGACGAGCATGTATGCGTAGGTGTATGGATGTGAAGGAGGCGAGAGAGGTGTGTCAGGATCGTGCCAAATGGAAGTCTGTAGTCTCTGCCTACCCCTCTGGGTGACAGGCGTGAGTGTTTATTTATGTTATGTTATGTAATATTGAAAAAAAAGTGTTTGAGTGTACCTTGACTAATATTACTCCAACAAGTGCTTCACGGGGTGCCATTCAAACATAAGTATTTTACGCGACTCACTATTCAAAGTCAAATATTTTTACTCTTATAAAAAGCACTTTTTGAAAGTCAAATGCTACGCTATCGTTCTTCAAGCCCCTACTTCAGGGAAACCTTATTAGAAGAAGCAGCAAGAAACTCACAAGTAGTTTTTTATTCCCCCAAAAGTTACCTACAATTTATACTTAGAAAATATAGGTATACATAAGATAAAAAAAGTCAACGGAAGCTCATTATGTCCACGCATTCTTATCTTTTAAATAGTCATCCAATTTATAATAATTAATTACATATTTGTTGTATTATTTTATATAAATTGTATCTATTCTAGAGATGAAACGGATATCCGGTAACTATTCGGTATTCGGCCTATCTGGCCTAAAATTACTATCCGGTCGGATACCGGATAACCAACGGCTATCCGGCTGGATACCGGTTTAAAAAAAATCAAATATAGTTAAGTACTTCATTTATGCTACTCAACAAATATAATCAGTAATCACAAAATTTTCGTTTTAAAACTTACAAAATTAGTACTCGTTGTCAAAATTAGGCACAGAATACATAATAGTATTACGTAGCTTAGGGCAAATTATGGTGAATAAATACTAATTAAAGTTTCGTCTGTCTTCATAAACAAGGCCAGCTTCAGAAAAAAGTCTTTCGCTGTACACACTGCTGCAGGGTGCTGAAAGATATATTTTGGCAAACTGATAAATTTGGGTATTTGTAGTAATACCTACCCACCAAATATGAGGGTTACGATCGCGAACAGTTTGCACTGACTTTACTTTTCGCTTCTTGCGATGCACCAAACGGCAATGTTCGGCAGAATATCCGGCGGCCGGATATCCGGCTATCCGGCGATAAGACAGGCCGAATATCCGGTATCCGTCCAAACAGCTATCCATTTCATCTCTAATCTATTCTTCTGTTTGTTCCACACAGTGACCTCAACAGCAACACACAGTTCGTGGTAGGGCTGGCACTGTGCACGCTTGGTGCGATCGCGTCTCCCGAGATGGCGCGCGACCTTGCCTCGGAGGTGGAGAGACTCATAAAGTCCCCAAACGCGTACATCAAAAAGAAAGCGGCGCTCTGTGCCTTCAGGATCATAAGACGAGTGCCCGATTTAATGGAAATGTTCCTACCGGCGACGAGGAGTCTACTGACTGAGAAAAATCATGGTGAGTAGCATCTTTACTGACAATTATGGTAAAGAAAAAGTAAAGTTACAGCCTTTAAGTACGTCCCGTTGCTGGGTACAAGCCGAGGGCAAGAAAGTGCCCACCGCACTGCCCCAGTGTGTGTTGGCGTACTTTTAAATTTGTCAGATATGCACATTTCCTCACGATATTGTCCTTCGCTGGCAAATACGTAGCGAAGTTGCAATTTTTAAGTAACAATTTCAGATCAAAACTGCTATGAAATTTATGGCAAACATAGTGAATGATCATGATATTCACAGACACTGCTGATATTGGTACTTAGTTAAAATTTATAAAATTCAGTCAGTATAAAACTTGGTTATGTGAGTTTTTGTCACTTTATTTACCAATGCCTTATCTTGTACCTATGTATCTATGTATATATATATATATATATATGTAGATTTAATATTGTCGTAAAAATATTTCAATTGAAATATATTTTTCATCAGAACAATAAAAGATTTTTCCTGTAGAAATTCAATCCTAAGATGCAGTAAAAAATATTACAAGTTTTACTGTTATCTTCAGTCGTTGCCGTAGAAGGCCGTCCCTCACGCTGATCATCGGTGAGATTAGTGCGACCACGTTTAAACTCATTAAACCAGTTGTAAACAGTGGCATGAGAGTGGCTTCATCGTGAAAGGCCAATCGAAATCTATCATATTCTTGTTGACTTAAATGACATCGAAAGTCGTTTAAATTCTTTGTACAAAAATTTTCTCGCGTTAAATTCATCCTGACGTGACACAGGCAATTTTCAATTTACCAAATCGTAAAAAAATGACAAATTAATAAAGGGTCAGAAAAAGCCTAGCAAGCGAAAGGAAATTCTAAAGAGACCCGCCATTTTCTATTAATTTTTGTTTTGAAGTAGAGATAATTTTTGTGCAATATAATAATATAATGAATATAAAATATACATGCTAAAAAACTCATGATTGAAGTTTTAATATATACTTTACAAAAATATTAAAACACTATTAGAAGTACTACATACCGCTTACATATTTTGCTTACAAGCGCTTGCTAGCGCTTTTTTCTGCCAAACGCACCCAATGCATGCACAATAATATTGGCAAATAGTTCCATTTTCAAAATTTGAACTTATTTTTTATTATATCGTTAACAAGTAGTAAGTTCTAAAAACTTTCAGTGTCGTCCTGGTATATATTATAAAGGATAATTACCTGTTACTTGATCCTTTAAATGTACGGTACGAGTCCACGACCATAAAAAAACATATTAAAATTGTTATCGTATTAGAAACAAAATTAACAACCCTATGAATACAAAACATTTTTGCCCTGATAATAATAATTATGAACCGAAATATTGTTAGCATTGTTTTAAAATGTCGATTGTGTACATTTCTTCCTCACTAATTTAACACGCAATAGCGAACTAACTAGAGCCTAGAGCCGTTGTAGCACAGAGGCTTAGCGCTCGCTGTAAATTTCACAGTACGCGAGCGACCCGGGTTCGATCCCCGCCGACACCAATGAAATTATTTATTGCAATTTTAAGTGCTGATTTACCACGTGCTTCACGTGTATATTTCAAAGACATGTGAAGTTCGTCTACACGCATTGGAGCAGCGCGGTGAACATTTCCTTGCCCTAAAAACTCTCAGTAATGATAGGAGGCCAGTGCCCAGCTGTGGGACGAATATGGGCTGTAACTTTAACTTTTAACAAGCTAAACTGCATATTAATTTCAAAACTATTTATTTATTAACAAAATCTAATACACTCTTAGATCACTATTTAGTATCACATTGAAATCAATACATGTCATCGAATGAATATCGTCTTTATCGTAATATCGTAAGGTTCATAATTACCTTCCCTTCGGGCATACTATTGACATTTAATGAGCTCAATTGACGTGTGAAGAGGCCGCTGCGGTCTGTTTACCTTGTGATTGAATTACTCAATAAGTCCCCGCTTATTACTGGATCCCTTTTGAACCACATTTTAAGTGGTAGAGCCATGCTGTAGCTGTAATATTATGGTCGTAGCTCGACCAGGGTAGGCGCACGCTCTCACAGAATACCAGCGTGAAATAGCAGCTTAATGCTGTTGCGTTTCGTATAGTGAATGTAGAGAACCGGAGAGATCCTTTTTACTGGAAACGAGGCATACCATCTATGTCCTCTAGGGTGACAACGCATCCCCATATCAATTCTTAAGGGGATATAGTAAGTCAGCTCAAATTCTTATTTCGCCCCCACTTCCCCGCGCGTCGTATGCTATGTACCGACATGTTTGTAATCACTAATACTGTAAGTAGATAGGTCGTTAGATACTTATTTCATTAGGTTTATCATATTTATGCCTGTTTCTTAACGCCAAGCCAGTCGCTTCTTATTTTTATCACGGTTATTTCCCATTTTAATTTTACGTCGTCCTGTTGCGTAATGTGTATTCTGATCGTAAGCGACACAACTTCTCCCTTCAAAAGCCTAAGCGATACTAACGGACTAACGGGGCGACAGGAATCAAGCTTCAAGACGCCGATAGTTTAGGTAATTTCTGTTTACAATGAAAATAATGGTATTTTAAATAAAGTAAATAACATAAGCACTGCTTTATAGTTAGTTCAGTTAGTGTGCAAAGTTTCATGATCTTATTTAAAGTATTTTATGAATAACAGCGGTATATTGTTCAGTTTGGAGGTAACTTTGGATATTTTTCTATCGAGAAAATTTTACGGAATCGTGTTTTCGTCTAACATAGTCCTTAACATTAATCCTCAACTTTACCATATATTTATTTCAAAATTAATGCTGCAATACTTTCGGCATAACGGAGGATCTTGCTAAGCCATTTGAGGTTATATTTCCCCTTAATCGTGGATTAATTTAGATGTTTATGTGACATGTCATCTACATATCGTTAGATAGACTGTGCGCTCGTTTGTCATCCTTATTCTTTAAAAAAGCGGTATTTCTAGAGTTTTTAAAAGAAAATTCAAAAAATAAATAAATTACGTATTTGCTCACAATATGGGTATAATATAATAAAAAATAAAATACAAGTTAAAAGTGAAACAAGCTATCTCAGTTCGTCATTGCTTGAGGGACTATTGAACGCCGCTTACATGTCATTATTACGATCTGTAGGGACGATGAAGTAATTTAAATTTATGGCTCTTTGCTCTTTTCTTTTCCAAAGATTAAATCACAGTAAAACACAGCAAGCGTTTTTACCGCTATATTAAAGTAGGACTGTATAATGTAGTTAATAACGTTTTTAGCTTTTTAAGTAAGCATATTGTATACTGCTTTGTTGAATATTATATTAACTGTTATGAGTAACAAATATGAATGTATTCTCTCTTACATAGGACAAACAAAAAACAAAAAGCTCAATAAAATCCCGCGTTAAAGAACACATAGCTATTGAGATGAATCGACGCTCTGGGAAGTCTGCAGTCTGTGAATACGTACAGGATCGCCCCCGTCACTACATCAGATTTCAATACAGCGGATTTGTGCCGCGCCAAAGAACACCATTTCCTTCCAAGAGTGCTTTGCGAGTCTATTGAAATCATCCTAATTTCAATAGTGCTACCATCTGCTTGGGATCCTATAATTAATAAAATTAAATCCCAACTCAAGCGTACAACTGATAGACTTCAAGACACTATAAGTTCATAGTGCGCAGATCGAAACAAAAATTAAAAATTTTAATCTGGAGGTAGCCGTGGTTAACTATGACATTTTTGGACTTCGAACACCTAGTCCCCCCCCCCCCCCCCGTTACCATAGGTGCTGTAAAGTGCTCGAAACGTTAGGAATATAAAATAAGTTATTATACGTGATAAAATCCATAAAAACTAGTTTTATTGAAATTAGTCATTATTTATTTTTAATATTTTTTCTAAATGGTTTTTCTCTACTATTCTACGTTTTTTAAATTTGAACGTTTATTTCATTCGTTATCGTCATCACAGACTTTCACGTCCACTGCTGAGCACATGCCTCCCCCAAGGAATGCCACAAAATTGTTATAAATTTATTTATTAAATACAAAATTGTCTAATTAATAAAAGACGTTAAGTCAAAGTTTTGTTGTACAGTTGTCTTAAATGTTTCGAATGAATAATTGTGAACAGGTGTGCTCATCACCGGCGTGACTCTCATCACCGAGATGTGCGAAAACAGCCCCGACACACTCAATCACTTCAAAAAGGTAAGATTTTTCAATTAACATACAAAAGCTGAAGCGTAGAGCCTGTTTTCGATTGTCTTAATCGTGAAGTGTAAACATTTTTATACAATTTATTACATAATCATAAAATACTTGCATTTTATATTTTTAAAGGAATTTATATATTATTTTTATAACATATAAAATATACTTCATGAAGCAATTATATTCATTTACCTTTTAAAGTATTTTCGCATAATAAATAACTTACGATAAGAAGTTCCTTCATCTAAATGGCGTTGTTTGTTGTGAACTAAATACAAATATTAATAAAACATATAATATTAAAATTTTATAAAAATAAATATTATTACCTCGACTTGTTCTTGACATGACTTGATATGACGATAATTTCTTAAATCTTTAGTAACCTATATTCATACAAAAAATGCTTGAACCTAAATCTTAGTTTAATTTCTAGCTGCAAATATAAATGGAGGGTGAGATGGAAAGATTTTAGATACAAAAAGAATGTAAATTGGAAGCTAAAATACATTAAAAATATACAATTTTTTGCAATAATTAAGATGGTGTTCCAATAATCTTCATCCATACAATTCTTTCGAAGAGGCCAATCTCCTACACTGTACTTTTACGCGCTGATCAAGAATATGAAGAACTAAGATTAAAGTAAAAGTCTATTTAAGGAGTTGGTGCCCGCCTGTGGTATACCCGGCGGTCTATGTGTGACATGGCGTGTTAGAACTAACGTTACGAAAATTCCCGGACCGCTTCTTAGCCTAAGGTGGGTGTACCATGGAAGGCCACTAACAAATAAACCGTTATTACTCGTTTATTTACTGGATAAATGAAACGAGCAAATATTTAAGTAATACTTTATTTTATTACATAACATATAAACCACTTTTTTAAATTGCAGATTTAATCAATATTGATTGAACTTAAGTTTCATTGAACTCTTCCAAATGGCCTTGCTAGGAACAAGGTTTCTTAGAAGGCCATTGTAAGAAATCAGTCATTTAACACTAAAGTTTAGTAAATAGCAATTAAATCTACAATAAAAAGAAGTGGTTTATATGTTACGTAATAAAACAAAGTATTACTTAAATATTTGTAATTCAATTTATCCAGTAAATAAACTAATAAAAACTGTTTATTTGTTAGAGTGGTCTTCCACGGTACACCCACCTTATTGTAACGTTGTCAATTCCCGAAATCAATGAAGCGAGGGACCGTAATGCCAATTGCCAAAACAGTAGCGCGAGCGATTCGCCGCCGCGTCTGTGATTTTCAGTTCGATGGGTGTAAGTAGAAGGAATTTGTCATCACATGGCAATAACTACGACATTTTAATAATTGGCCTTCGAAGGAGCATGGCCTTCCATGGTCCACTCACCTTAATTGTATCGGTTCGGAAGCTGAACTTAACGGTCTTTCAGCGACAGCAAACGTATGACTATTTCTACATTGCGATATTAATAACAGAATATTATCAATTTATCGAATGTCTCATAAACCGAGACATGATTATCGTAAAAAGTAAATTGATACAAACAAAAAGCGGTCGAAGATAATGCGTGTGTGTAGCTCAACTTACGCTACCGTCCGATCGATATACTGATCGCCAAGCAGAGCGGTGTAGTTGGACTGGTTTTGATTGGCTAAATTGGGAATGATAACTCGTTTAATCTCCATGTTCATGCCTGTGCGGGTAAAACTAGATCATCATTTAAACCAATTGACCATTATTTTTTTATAAAATGACAAAAGAATTCTTTCTTCATCTCTATATTACTAGAACACGAGAGTATCGCTTTAGGATACCTATGAAAGTAACCTACAAGGGAGGCCGGTCTTTACCGTGGTTATTTTTATTTATATACGAATTTACGGTTGCTATTGTTTTCTAAATGATTGATATTACTCAAATGTCATATCTAAAAACAAGACTACTAATTTGTCAAACATTTGACTAAGACACACAATATTAACTATTACACATGTAGTTATTTGTAGATCTAGTTAGTTTTGAACGGTGTCAAGCGAAGTATATGAAACAAAATCATCAATACCGCTTTGGCCTTTTCCGACAACGGAAGAGGGTGTCGTCCACCCTACCTACCCTCTTCCGTTGAATACTAAAAGTCATAACGCTTGATAAAGCACAGCCCTAGTAGTTAACGTAAATACCGTACGCGTTTAGACGTTTCATTGGAGAAATTCAATGGAAAACCTTCAATATAGGAAAATATATTTCTCTGAGGAACCTAGGAACTATTTTTAGGTCCTAATTGTCAGAGTAACAGAAGATGAGATATCACCGTCATGGCCCTTTCTTAAAGTGGATGGATTTTTAGTAACGTTATTGAGCACTACTACCCGTCGTTTAGCTTTCGGTTTAATGTTGATATTCTTGTGATGTTTTTTCTTTTTTCTTTTGTTTTTACAAACTTGAGATGTACATGGCACTCAGACTGGATACAATAAATTAATGTATTATCTGTAATTGATGGGACGTGGAGGGATGGTGCAAATATATGTATTTTTGCCATTTGCTGTAGAGATTATCGGACCGTGGATTCCACGCGCGGTGAAGTTTCCGTATCAGGTATCTGACACTGGAGACAAGAGGGCATGTTCTTTACTCAACCTAAGACTATAAGTATAGCTATTTAGCGAGGAAACAACATTCTTAGCACTGTTTCTAAAAGGCACTGTTTAAATTTGTTTATAGTAATAAATATTGTACCTATCTCTTGATATGTTATATAAATAAATATACATACATATTTGTATAATCTAAAAATAATTATTATTTGTAGTGGATATTCTTACTTCACACGGTATAACTGCGGTTGCCAACACGACTGCCAAGCGTGGCAACTGTGGTAAATATCCCCCCTATGAAGCAATCTAAGGGGGAGGCCTATGTTCAGCAGTGAACTTTGATAGGCTGTATAACACAACACAGCTGTTTTAAGAGGATACCTTGAAAACGAATAGTAGTTTTGGGAGCGTGGCTTATTCCTTTGTCGGTGAAGCTCACGGACGACTGAGAGTGACGAAGAGAGTGTCAAAATGAAAGTGATGCAATGTCTTCATAACACGCAAATTATGAGATAGCTATGCCCAGCACACGTTCGAAAAAAAAAACTAAGTAAACACCAAACATTTTTTTTTAACAATACTTTGTTATGGATTTAAAAAAATTGTTTATGAGAACTTAGATATGATTATTTACTATGCCTTAAAATAATTCCATGAACTTATTCGTACAAATATTGTGGTATCTTGGAGAAATGTAACTAATTAGAGCCTACTTTGCAAATTTTTTCAATCGAGAAAATTACATGATATTGTGTTTTCCTTTTATACAATCCAAGGTCATATAGTCAAAAATCATGTACGTAATCTATGAAACTTAAAAAAAATATGTGAAACTCACCGGCACGGAAACTTGGCCAAGCGGTTATCTCGCGATAGCAAAAGCTTTAAGTGTTTCTGATGAATGTTTGTTATGCAAGTATGTCAAAAAATGTTTACCCTCAAGTTCAAGAGGGTAATTCATTATGTTTAAGTGCACCATGACGAATTCTTTAATTTTTAGTTGAATCGGGTCATTTGAGCGACTAAGTTCACATTTTAAATTTGTGTGTTGTGAAAAGTTTACTGTAAGGTTATTCAATTATTGTGATCTTGTGTCTTAATTAAATAACTAAAGGTGCTTTAAAGCCAATAAAAATGCCATTAACACCAGCACAAGTTGCACAAGCAGTAGCATTAATTGACCAAGGGCTGACACAGCGTGAAGTTGCTATTGTGCTTAACGTACCACGGTCCTCAATGCAGTATTCACTGAAACGATACCAGGAGACAGGCCGCTACACCCGCAGGCCAGGCAGTGGGGGCGTAAGGTGCACATCGGCCCGGGACGATCGTTTTATTGTTATGGAGATTTTGAGAAACCGCTACCTGACCGCTGTTGAGATACGCCAGCGGCTCCAAATCGCAAGAGGCGTTAATGTTAGTGAGCGTACGGTGAGAAGACGAATGGAGGAAGTGAATTTAAAAGCTCGTAGACCAGCACGAGGTCCAGAACTTCTCAGACAGCACCGAGTAGCCCGACTTCAGTTCGCAAGAGAACATGTCAATTGGAACCACGAGCAATGGACTAGAGTGTTGTTCACAGATGAGTGTCGAATAGCTTTACGTGCTCCAGACGGTCGAGAACGAGTGTGGAGAAAAAGAGGAGAGAGGTTTCTACCCATTACCACCACCCAAACTGTGAGTTTCCATGGAGGCTCAATAATGGTATGGGGAGGTGTAAGTTCCGACGCACGTACAGAGTTGGTCATCGTCGATAATCGGCTTACAGCTACTCGATACATCGAGGAAGTTCTTCAGGAGCACGTAATGCCTTATTCGGGATTCATTGGACACGACCAATTCCTCCTCATGCACGATAATGCACGCCCGCACGTCGCACATTGTGTAGAGGAATATCTGGAAAAGGTTGGAATACAAAAATTACAGTGGCCAGCTCGTAGCCCGGACTTAAATCCAATTGAGCATGTATGGGGTATGCTCAAAAGAAAGATAAAGTCCAGCTCCAAACCGCCACAAACTCTAAATGAGCTCCGAAATGCAGCGCTGGCCGCTCGGGACAGCATACCGCAAGTTGATGACAGAAACATCATTCAAAGCATGCCAGATCGAATGCAAGCGGTTATCAGGGCTAGAGGAGGAAACACCCGATATTAAAACTGATAGACAATAAAGAAACAGACTTAATTTTTAACTTTGTAGTGTTTTTAAAGTGACAATGGAAAGATGTTAATTTTAGTGAAAACATGTTATCTTGAAAAGAAAAATTTCGGTGAAGTAAACATTAAATTTCTATGTTCTAAAACCATTAGAGACACTTATTGAATGCATCTACCCTTAATTTACTGTTAAAAAAACGTTTCAGTGCAAATAATCAGCAAATTCACGAGTGGCCAAGTTTCCGTGCCGGTGAGTGTAGAAAAACCACCAAGTTTTCGAGGTACCACCATAAAATACTGTTATTAATAATTCCAGCAGTGCCTACGAAAAGCAAAACAAAATAACAGCTCAAGTTTAATTTACTGTAGTAAATGTTAGAGACTGATACGCACCGTTTAACGGAAGAACCGCAGTGCGTACACAGCCACTTTATTAGTCTAATCACAGCGACCCAGTGACCTAAAGCAAGCTTGTAAATCGCTGGTTTCATTAGACATAGGGCTTGCTTACTTATGCGACTATATGTTGTAAACTAAACTTCTTTTATGTATTTCAATATTATATAAAGGATATTTTGTTTTTTTTTTGATGTATTAAGGATTTTTATGCATTTATTACATTTAACAACTCATGTACTATAAGATTCAATAAATAGATGTACCTAATATTCTAATTTTTGTTTGTATTTTATGTGTATATAATAATTATTTTGTCGACAACAAACTGCAAGAAACAAAAAATGTTCTAGATTTTTAGGAATTTCATTTTCGTGTAAAGATTTCTTGAAATTGTTTGTCTGTTTCATCAGATCATAACATTGCCGTGTGTGAATGAGACTGAGAATTTGCACTGATTGTTTCGGTTTTCAATCGCAGTCCAGACCTATTTAACTGCAGTAAACGAAAGTAGACATTAGATCAATTCTGTCATTTACCATAGTGGCCACTTATAACACCCAACGAAAGTCAGTGATAGATTCTCTTTCGCCGCCACCACACGGCATTACGGCTTTATTTAATTAAATTTTATTGATTGGCTTTGAAATGCCTCCCTATTTTAATGAACGCAATTCTAAAATATTGAATTTGCCATTGTTTATATTAAAACATTCCTATAAGATTATAAATACATTCACTTAATACACATTATAGATAATATAAATTAAGATTGAGTACAGAGAACCAATTTAACACCGCTCATGAGTTGCGACACTAGAAAATCGTTAAAACTTATCTTCCACACGCCTCCTATGTAAATACACTCACGTCACCTGCACTGTCTTATCGCGTTGTTCGGGCCTGTGTGATACAAAGCTTGTTTACTTATCACTTATCGTGGAGTATTCATCGGTTATAAATATAATTGTTATATAAGACTTTACTATTCCATGGTTGTTTTAGGAAAAATTCTAAACAAGCCTTGCCTTTGTTCAGAGTCTAAGATATGCTAGTTTAGAAAAGCGAAATAAAAACATAGCATTGTTTTATAATAAAGAAACCAAACAGTGCATCGGAAGTAATATCACAATGTTTCGTAAATGTACGCTTGTACAGAATTGTGTTGTATATATGTTATGGCTAATGGCCGCAATAAGGTTACACCTAGTTCTAACCGGCTAGAACAAGGTGTAACCGCACTTCGGCTTTTAGCCGTAACATATATACTAATTCCTGATATCACTAAAAGGGAACAAAATTTTTAAATTAAAATACTAATGATATGTCAAAGGTATAAGCGTCATTAAGCCCTTAGTTAAGTTTTTATATTTGCGTGTTATGTTACACCATTCGTTCAAGCATTATACCTACCGGTAAACGAAGTGTAGGGCGGCCCCAACTAGGTGGAGTGAGAAATGCAGGAAGGCTCAGGACTGTGTTTTGTGGCTTTCCTTGTAGGAGGCCTATGTTCAACAGTGGACTTGTGAAGGGCTGTTATGATGATGATGATGATCATGATGATATATTGTGATACTTGTAATTTTATTATAAAGGTGATCCAGTACTAATTAATTATTTGTGTTGTCCCGTAGGAGAGCGGACAGCGCGAGGTAATCACAAACGCTGATCCCTGCACTTTTACGTCAATATGACGACATTGCACACCATTTTGAACGTTATAGTATTAGCAAAGTGGTGAAAATCGCGTACGACCGCGAACGATATTATACCGCAACTCGCAAAGCTATTGTTGGTAAAGACAAAGCAGGGCGATGCTTGAAAAGGCAACAAGGCTTCGCTAATCTACAACTTGATCTAAAATACAGCACCCAACCCAAACTAAGGTCATCAACCTACATTAACACTGTCTTGCCATTAAAATATTAGCTGCCCCCATAAATATTCTACGATATTATGTCCGACAACTAACACGGGTTATTTATTACATTTTTTATTATAACGAAAATATAGAGCCATAATTATCTGAAATAAATAACCCATAATAGGTTTCGAATAACTGTTATAAAGAGTAAAAAACTTATATTTAAATTTTTTATATTAAAAGTGCAGTGTCAGCATATTGACGTCAAACGCATGAATGTTATTATATTATTGATTAATATTATGTACACGTTTATGTTGGTTGTCAAAAGCCTTACAAGTCTTAAGTCACCGAGGCTATACCTTAAGTTACTTGTTAAACTTTATTAGACGTAAAATACATATTTCACGATAGTGTGTAGTTATCAGTTTTCACATAATGTACATACGACGCAATTTTAAGTAGATGTAGCTTATTTGTAGTATAATTTATGGGTAAATATATATAATTTAGCGAAATAGTACAATTTTACGAATAAAATTAAATAAACTTCAATAAAAATGTACATCCATATCAGTTGACTTCACTTTATAAATTACGTAAAAGTTATCGAAAAAAGTACATGGAGTCTAAAAACATTCATACTTTGCAACTATCTCAAAATATAAAACCACTAGTATTTGCAATGAAGTTAGTTATATTTCACAAAATTATAAGATACTAATTAATTCAATTTTGTTTTAATTAAGTTTCCCTTTTTAGTTAAATTTCTTACTAAGAGATATTTTATGTACTTAGTAGCATATATGTAGCTTAATGTAGGAAATTTAGTTTTATAACTAGTAATATTTATTACCACCATATAGTAATGTTAGGTTATATGTATAATATAGTTGAGTATTTAGTTATTGCAATACTTATAAGGCTTTTGACGTTAATTGGGGATTGGTATTTTGAGGCTTTGAGTATTTAATTGTATAAAGTTAGATCCTGACCTATGAAATTGCCGTTTAATTATATCTAGCTATTTTGAAGTTCGGTAGTTTTCATTTGACTTGGCACTCAAATTAATAGTATATTAAAGATATGACACCAATGCTGCATCCATAAGCCTTATACTCTTCCTGAGTCATATGAAGCTGTAAGAGTCGCATAGACTAACAGCGCAATCATCTCGTAAATAGACGCTGCAACCATCGATCACTAATAAAAACTTCTTAGTTCTTTATTAGTGATCGATGGCTGCAACCAATGTAAACAACATGTTATATGAGCTAAATCTTGTCCTACTATTCGTACTATTAAGGCAGCCAATACATATTTCGAAAGCTAATAGAGTAAAAAAAGGTTCTTTATGATGTATGTATGTATAAATAACATTGGTTAAATTTCTCATTAGAGCTCCTGTGAGAATAGGCACAATTACTGCATACTGCATTCACTTATCAGGGATTGCGAAAAATGATAGACGAGTTCGCTATCAGACCGAGATTTATTATTCTAATCCAACTACTCGCTAATACTACTTACTTCACCACGGCAACTCTTGTTGAGCTTGGACCAACTCTTCGTCCCGTCATCATCGTAATCGTCAAAACTTTATCCCGCTGATTTGCTTTTTTTGGACTGAACTTTTTTGAGAGGCAAGAATTACATATTGATAATAATAGCCAATGCTTCTTTTAATTTAATAGATGTCTATATGTTTATCATTAAAAATAGTTAGAATTTTTCTACTTTAACCCGGCAATATCATAGGCGAGGACCTAATAATTTGTAAAAATATTTTAGTGTGATCTTTATTTTGATCTTAATCAAATGGCGTAATATACGGTATTATTGTTTATATATGTTTTTATTTCAAACTTTAACATAATACTTGTAGAGGTTTTTTTTTTAATACATATTATTATGGTATAAGGTCACGAATGTTTTTAAAGCACGGGACCAATTTATAATGGATGAGGTTTATTGTAATTAATATTTAATTGATAAATATTTTAATTATTTTTTAATGTTATGCCTACCGTATGATTTATTATGTATTCGAAAAGCTGTATCCCCTATTCTCTATAAATCATTCTGTTTGGTTGTCAATGTTTTAAAAATCAGTATTTAGAAATTTCGATGCATACATCTGCCTGGATTGTAGGTACTTGTATTAAATGTTCTCTGCTTTCATATTTGGGCACTGTTTACTCAATTATATATTTTTTCAACGTTTATTAAGTGCCTGTTTATTTTAGATTGTTCCGAACCTGGTGAGAATATTGAAGAACCTTATCTTGGCCGGATATTCACCTGAGCACGACGTTAGTGGAGTCTCCGATCCTTTCTTACAGGTAATTTAGTGTGAATTAACTTTATTATAAAAATTGTACTCATTTTTAATAATATTAGAGCTTCATATATGACAAGAAAGATAGCTGGGGAGGCTTTTGCGTTCATAGAAGCTAGCAAAAGTAAAGTTCAATTTTTCTTAAATAAATATATCAAAACAAGGCGCTAAATTCTTTGATTTTTTCGTAATAGTGCGCTGCATACTGACGCCGATTGTCGGACCTTGATGTATTTAAAGTAAAGTAAAGTTAAAGCCTATATACGTCCCACTGCTGGGCACAGGCCTCCCCTCATTTCTGAGAGGGTTTTAGGGCAAGAAAGTGTCCGCCGCGCTGCCCCAATGCGTGTTGGCTAACTTCACATGTCTTCGAAATATTTTTTTCTTATTCCTCAGACATGCAGGTTTCCTCACGATGTTTTCCTTCATCGCCGAGCACGTGGTAAATCAGCACTTAAAATTGCAATTAACAATTTCATTGGTGCCGGCGGGGATCGAACCCGGGTTACTCGCGTTCTGTTATATTTGCAGCGAGTGTTAACCATCTGAGCTACCACGGCTCTCGTGGTATATACTTATGTATACTTGATGTATTTGTTTGTGTAAAATTGTAGGACCTATACTAGAATTATTTTGTCCGTGCAGTTTGGGTCATAAATCTTCACTATTACGCTCTCTCTCCCACTCACGGGCCTTAGGGGCGAGCATAGTGATGCGCATTATTGTTGTCGATAAGCGTTATCGATAGTGTATTTGGTTTTGTCATTATGTGGGCTAGTTATAAAAATGAGAAAAAAATTGATACGAGGGTGGATTGAAAAGTACTCGGCCTAACCAAAAAAATAAACACATACTAAATCAGTTATATTTTTATTTTTCTACATAATCGCCATCAAGTTCAATACACTTTTGCCACCTCCCCTTCCAAGCATTTAGACCGTTGAAAAAAAATGATTCTTCCTTAGAGTCAAAATATGCGTCTACAGCTGCTTTGACCTCGTCGTTTGTCGAAAATCTTTGACCTCCCAAGTGCTTTTTTAGGTTAGGGAACAGAAAGAAATCTGATGGTGCCAGATCAGGTGAATACGGCGGATGCGGTAACAGTTCAAAGCCACAGTCGTGAATTTCAGCCATTGACTGTACTGACGTGTGAACACGGGCGTTATCTTGATGAAACAGGACTTTTCTTCTGAGCATTCCTCGACGTTTTTCTTTTATTTCCTCTCGTAAACGACGTAGTAAGGTGCAGTAGTAATCAGAGTTTATAGTCTGACCCCTTTCAAGATAATCAATCATAATCACACCTTTCGAGTCCCAGAATACTGAAGCCATCACCTTATTTGCCGACAAAATCGACTTAGCCTTTTTAAGGGGTGGTGAACCAGGTCTTCTCAACTGTTTTGATTGTTGTTTTGTTTCCGGTGTACAGTAATGAACCCATGTTTCTTCCATAGTAACAAAACGATTCAAAAAATAATCTGCATCGGCTTCAAATAACTCCAAACAGTCGCGTGAAATAGTCAATCGCGTCCTTTTTTGTTCAACTGAAAGCAGTCGCGGAACCCACCTCGCAGACACCTTGTGGAAACCCAACTCGTTGACAATGATGTTTTGAGTTCATTCATAAGAGATGCCTATAATCTCGGCTATCTCTCTAATTTTTAATCTGCGGTCTCCCATTATTAAATCAAGTACTTTTTTTATATTTTCATCAGTAGTTGACGTCGAAGGCCTTCCAGAGCGGGGTTCATCTTTCACACTCCCTCTACCACGCTTAAATTCTGCTATCCATTTTTTGACGGATGAATATGACAGAGCACAATCGCCTAATGTACTGACCATGTCATCATGGATGGCTTTTGATGATAGCCCCTTCTTATGGAGGTACATAATGACGGCACGCTGCTCGATTTGCTCCATTCGCGGAAATTATGTCCGATTACTTTGTTAATAAATTTATAAAATCACAACTAATTATCGCACACGTTTCGAACTTCACACGATGAACTAGTCTGAACTGAAATAAATAATGTGGGTAGATTTGATTTTTAGAATTGAATGGATCTGTGTTAGGCCGAGTACTTTTCAATCCACCCTCGTATAACAACGTATTTATTTAAAATAAGAATAATAATGATTTAAAATAAATAATTAATTAGGTATCTATGTATTAAAAAAACTATAAGTACAAATGTTTGGAATGTAACAAGTTATATTTAAAATTATAAATATAAAGATAATAACTTATATCTAAAACTATTTACATTAAAATTCTACATCAGAATCATCAGATTCATCGTCATCCACATGAATTGCAATATCTTCTGCCAGATGAGATTTCTTCAAGGCTTCCTCTTGGATTTTTTCTGCATGCTTCACACAATCTTATAATAATATTTAAATAATAATAATGGAAAACAAATGACTCATACAAGGAAACACCCTGGGAATTAACCAACACCTGAAAAAACACTACAACGGCCCCCTGAGGAAACCATAACAATGTCGCACCAGCCTTTGTATACCGCACCGCCGCCGTACCTACCTTCCATGATTCATTTGTTGTTATCGATAATGGCGTTGCGCCCGCGCAACGTGCTCACCGCCCTAGCCGGGCTGAGGCCGAGCTATGATTTATGACCCCAACTGCACGGACAAAATAATTTTACTATAGGGTACTTCATAATTCTCAGCGTAACATTAAGTCCACGCTTATAATATAAAACATTTAATTATCACTCAATATAATATTATATGAACTCTACTGTTTCTCTCATTTCGTAAATCGAGTCTATTAAACATATTCATGCCGAAATACTTAAACGCTGTTCATTTTTAAGACACCATTAAGTCTCGTGCTGTCTCTTTCACTTTATGTCAAAGTGACTGTGACACCACGAGACTTAACGACATCTTAAAATTAACCACCGTTTGAGTATTTAGTCATCAATAACATACTTAGTCATCAATAATATACTTTTAGGTGAAAATCCTCCGCCTGCTACGGATATTGGGCAAGAACGACGCTGAAGCATCAGAAGCGATGAACGACATACTGGCACAAGTCGCCACCAACACGGAGACGAGCAAAAACGTTGGCAACACGATTTTATACGAAACTGTGCTGTCTATCATGGACATTAAGTCTGAGAGTAGCTTGCGCGTGCTCGCGATCAACATTCTGGGCAGGTTCCTGCTGAACAACGACAAGAACATTAGATATGTGGCGCTGAACACACTGCTGAGAACTGTGCATGTCGACACATCGGCTGTACAGAGGCACAGGACCACCATTTTGGAATGTTTGAAGGTGAGTCTTATATATCAAAACGAATACAAAATGTTTAATATAAATCACATAACCGCGTCGTGGCGGTGTAAGAACATCCAGTACTCCTTATCGTCCCATGGATGTCGTAAGAAGCGGCAGAGGGAAACTGAAAGAGGAGATGGGCAGTAGCATCTTCCCGATAAAAATTCAAAGTTATAAAAAAACCAAGCCGCCTACCCAGTGTGGCAACTGTGAAAAATTCCCCTGTGAGGCAATCTATTGTATTATGTTTGGAGGACATCATGGTCTTGAAATATTTTGCACACCTCGAACGTGAAGTTGAGGTTCGGCTTTTCTATGGACTTGGCGAGGTCACATTACTCGCACACAATATATCACGTTTATTATTTTTAAATTTCATAGACATTCAGGTATTCACATGATGCTTTGCTTCTCCACCGTATTTTATCATCAATTTAAATGGTAATTAACAACTTAATTGGTGTCAACACAGGTAATCAAACTCGATTTTCTCCCATAATACAAAATTTGAGATGAACATTTATCTCTGAGCTACCTCGGCTCTCTCAATATTAATAACACGGACATATTATATGTACTAATGATCTATGTAATATTGTCATCACAAATGTAATTAATATTCTTGTCACATATTAAGCTATCCGTACCCATGGCTTTTTATGCAGTTATTTTCACATAATTTATCGCAAGTGCAGATATTATACGGTCTAGAGTTAATTGTTGTGATGTTTACGTAACAAATCTGTTGTAATAATACCAATGTACCAATCACACAGGATTTTATTGCAAATAGAAAACGTGGAAAAAATTCCAATAAGATTTTTGTCGTAATGGTTTAAATTAAATTTTATTTGTGTTTTCATATGAACTAGCCTCTCTAGTAAAATAATGACTGTTATTAGGAAACTGAAAACTATTTAAATAGATTACGTAATACAAACGTAGTTACGTGTATTTTAATTCACTTACGTAGATACGTACTTTCAAATTATTTTGCATAATGCTTGTTCAAATTATCAAAATATTTGAAATTACACTATCAAATCAAATCAAATCAAATCTTTTTATTTTCAGACAATATAGGTCCATAAGGGTTAGTAATTAATTCTAATAGTAAGGGGGTTAGTAGTACTATATTATAATAATAAATTTAATTTAAATAATTAACAAATCCGGACATTGTCCGCACATAGCTCCTTAATATAGGTGCATGTGGATCATCTGCTACCGTCCTCAGGATGCTGTTGTCACTTCCCCGTACGCGGCTTATTAATGACGCCATTTTCTTGCGCATGAGTGCCTGAAAGCCATCCGTTCTCGCCAGCGCAAACATTTCAGATGCACTACAAAAACGAGGAAGCTTCAACATCATCCTGAAGATATATATTGGACGCGAAGGGTGTTTAACGATCCTTTGGTGTAGCTGATCCACAGACTGCTCGTGTACATGTTTTGACAAAATGCTTTAAAAAGCGTAATCTTGACTTCATCCGTACAACGAGCGAATCTACGTACCAGCATGTTACCACGGACCGCCAAAGCCCTACGCTCCCGTTCTATGTCTAAATCGTCTCTAAGGTCGTCGGTAAGTACGTGGCCCAGGTACTTAAATTGGAAAACTCTGTTCAGCTCCACTCCACCGAGGAAAATTGGAGGTATAAATTCGGGACACTTACCGGCAGCCTTAAAGACCATAAATTCGGTTTTTCTGGCATTGTAGGCCAGACCGTGCGACTTAGCATAGCTCTCACATACGTTCAACATTTCTCTGATAGCACTCGTAGTGGGGCCCAGCAGCACCATGTCATCCGCGTAACTAATATTGTTTACAATACTATGTATTTTTACTATTTATTATTACTATGTATTGATGAATATGATAAAAGGCACTACATGACATCTGTTTCCCGCAAAAAAGTCCTTTCTATATATTCACATTTTAAAGGTAAAAAAAATATCAATAGAGCAGCGGGCATCGAAATCGAAAATCATATTTGCACTCACTTATGTTATTATGTCAAATAAGCACGTAAAATTATTTTTAGAATTATATGCTAAATGAGGGTCCAGAAGTAAAATAGTCTGGAAGTATTTATTTTAAAATTAGATGTATTCTTGGATGTGTACTGCCCCTTCAATATCTCGAAAATTTTACATCATAATCATCATTACAGCATATTGAAAGTATGCAATATTTTAATTGCAGCTAATAAAACACTCAGTTTTGTGATAAGAAGTGGCAAGGAGTTCAAGATAATCGCAACAATTATAGCAGTGTGCAATAGATTTGTAAGAAGTAAATTAAAATACTGCAGTACAGTACAACAATTTGTTACAATACTTACATACAGAGAATACATTGTTTATAGAAACGATTAACTGGGCACTTAGCATATCCAAGACAAGAATCCTATACACAAAAGCTTAAGATTTTTAACATGCATTCCTTCTATAAAGCTATCGACTGCCCAAATCTGCTTAATAAATTTTCCATAACGGTACCCAGCTATGTCGTCATCCAATCGGAATACTTAAAGAACATGAACAGTATAACATCGACTGATATCACAGATCTCGACATTTTTAACGATATTTTGAATAATTTTTAAAGAAATTTGGGTGGTGGATGCACCTCTATGTGCAGGTTATATCTAGCTACAGTTTTCCGTTTACGTCCCTGTCCTGCGAGTCTCATTTACTGTCCGGTCTGCCGATACCTCTCGAGAACTCGGTGTACCACAGATTTTTGGGCCCCATATTTGTAGGTATTCCCAGTTTCAATTAAAGTAAAAGCCCTACCAACTTGAGTGACTTATAGATCCTGGCATAAAAAATCCAAATTTAAACTCAAATTCAAAAGTTGGCATAATTATTCACAGTATCAAAGAACGCAATATTACGTAACAATTATAAAAAAAAAATTAAATTCGAAAAAGAAAAACATTTCAAAAACTTTCCTTTTTTTAATAGCATTTATTAATGTTTGTGGGCCAGTAAGCACAATAATTACATTTGATAAATATATCTTTTATACTAATTTTTATACTTTGTAACTACTGTAGGATGTCCTTGAAAATTAAATAAATAAACACAGTTTGCCTTCCCATGGGGAGGGTAATTTACCATAATTGCCACGCGTTGCTGATTTATATTGTTTTTATCGTGTAGACTCTGCTTCCCATCTACTTCAGTTTACTCCTTACGACACCCATGGGACGCTGTTGTTTTTCACACAAATCAATTTACACCCGCAGGACCCAGACGTGTCGATCCGTCGTCGTGCCATGGAGCTGTCGTTCGCGCTGATGAACAGCCAGAACATACGCGCCATGATGAAGGAGCTGTTGAGTTTCCTAGAGCGTTCCGACGCAGAGTTCAAGGCGCACTGCTCCAGCGCCATGGTGCTGGCAGCCGAGCGGTACGCGCCGTCCAGCAAATGGCACCTAGACACTCTCTTCCGTCTGTTGCTCAAGGTAATGCCTTGGTGCCGATTCTTTTTTCACTTGGTAGAGCCAGGCATCAGCTACATTATGATTTCACCATGAACAGGTCAGCCGGGCCGGGGAAGGACCTTGCTCTCAAAATATTCGAGTATGAAGTAGAAGCTTTTTGCTGCTGTGTTTCATACAGTGAGTGTAGAGAACCAGAGACCCTTTTTACTGGGAATAAAGCATTCCAACTTAGTCCTCAAGGATGACCATTCATAGCTGCATTTTGATTCTTAATCGAGGAGAGATGTAGATGTCTATAGAGTTCAGCATCCACATTCCAGGTAGACTGTATGGTTATTGGTAACCAGGGTTGCCAGATCAGATTTTCGAAAATACTGTGTTGTCCAAAATAAATTACGGTGTTTGAGAGAAAAATACAGTGTTTTATGAAAAAAATACAGTGTATTTTACAGTGTAATTAAATGACGTATTAAAAGGAAATAAATTTAATAATAAATTTTTAATGAACCAAAATATGCATTTATTTTAAATATACTATACTCAAACTAACTAAATATCTTAGTATTTTAATACACAAAGTAGTTTAATCACTGTCACTGTCGATTGCCTCCCATTTTTTGTAAATTTCAGAGCTAAAAGATTTTAGCATCTCGTCAGTTGGCAGAAAAACACAGTTGCCGCCATGACGACAAATGGCCTGTTTTGCCAACATGTTGCATATTGTCCTTAATTGTTTCTGTAATTAATCTATTTCTGTTCTTAGTTTTTGTGTCATTTATTTGGCTGAACACCCTTTCACACTCGGCGTTAGAATTTGGAAGTGCTAAAATGTTCAGTATAAACAGGGCAACCAAACTGAACTCTTCAAACAGAAAATATTTAAGCGTAATATTTTAGAACTGAATACTAAGACGGTATACCGGACAATTTAAATGACACATCAATAATATTAAAACAACACTATGGCATATCCAACTTCTTTTACCTGAATAATACCGTCTATGGTGCGGCCGATACTGGCAATTCCCAATGGAATACCATGTATTCTTTTGTGTTGTTCGGCGACGTATTCGTCACATTCATAATTTACGATATTTTCCATAAGTAGCGTTCATTATAAAACGAAATTTTGTTTTTGGTTGAAAAAAAAAATACTGTGTCTCCTTACACTGTATTTATAAAAATACGGTGTCCAGTAGACGGCGTTAAAATACGGTAGATCTACTGTAATTACAGTGTATCTGGCAACGTTGTTGGTCACTTTATTCTATGGAAATAAAATCATTGATAGCACTACAAGGGTACCAATTTTAAAGAGTACTGCCGTAGACCTGCTTAAAAACAAAGCAAAAAAACTCAAAAACTTAAGATCCTGGCCACTATCTGTGCTGGTGGTGGTGTGTGCACAGGTGAAAATCAAGGTACAAATAAAGATTAATATGGTTTGAACTACTTAAGATTTTATAATGTGTATACAAATGTTACACAACAGCAAAAATTGTTACCATTACACTAGATAGATGACTTCACAATTTCTTTGCCTTGATAGGTGTCATCAAGGATATAGAACAAAGAGTAAATACAGGACATGAATTAAAAGGGACTTTTCAGTCTATTGTGGGAAGTCAGAATGAACCTTAATGTTTGAAAGTGAAAGATGGGTGTGGCAGAAGAAGCATGAAAGTAAAGAGTGACAAAGCAAATTTAAGCTGTCGAAATGAGTGGCCCATTCGGTAAGGGACGCCCCAGACGGAAGTTTATCGACCAATTAGCGATATATTGGAAATTTGGCCAAGTAAAGAGTGCCCTTAAACGACGAGCGTGTATGCATACAAGGATGGATGTGAAAGAAGCGAGAGGTGTGTTAGGATCGTGCCAAATGAAAGTTCGTAATCTCTGCCTGCCTCTCTGGGCGACAGGCGTTAGCGTGATGCAATTACCACAATGGCCAAAAACTCAAGTGAATAGCAAGCAATAGCAATCCTATTGTGCTGAAGACGTGTGCTCCGGAGTTGGCACCGGTTTTAACGCGTCTTTTCCGGTACTCCTACTCCCTAGGCCTAGTCCCGAAATCATGGAAGACAGCCTTCGTGCACCCGATCCCTAAAAATGATAACCGCTCTAATACGTCCAACTAAAGGCCTATCACCATCACCTCCTTGTTCTCTAAAATAATGGAATCCATTATTAACAGCCAGCTCATGTGGTACCTTGAGGCTCACCAGCTGATTAGTGATCGCCAGTACGGTTTCGGTCGCGGTCGCTCGGCTGGTGATCTTCTGGGTTACCTAACTCGTAAATGAGCTTAAGCAGTAGAGACCAAGGGGGAGGCGTTGGTCGTTAGTTTGGACATAGCGAAGGCCTTCGATCGGGTTTGGTACAAAGCGCTTCTTACAAAGCTTCCTTCCTATGGGTTTCCTGAGAAATTATGCAATTTCATCACCTCTTGCAGATCGGAGCATCAAGGTTGTAGTGCCGGTGCATGCACTGATTACAAGCCCATTAACGCTGGTGTTGCACAAGGCTGCGTGCTATCACCAATGCCGTTTCTTCTGCATATCAATGATATGTTGCAAACCGGTAACATTCATTGCTATGCAGATGACAGCACTTGTTATGCTCTGTACACCAGCCGTGCCAATATTTCTTGGGAAAACGTCGCCGAGTACCGGGACAAACTTGTGTCTGAAGACGAGATTTTGTTATACAAAGTCTCGGAATGGGGGCGACTAAATCTAGTTCAGTTTATTCCCCAGAAGTCACAAGTTTGCGCGTTTACCGCTAAAAAGAACCCCTTCGTCGTATCTCCTCAGTTTCAAGCCACTCCGCTTGTTGCCTTAGCCAGTATCGGAATCCTCGGCGTCGACATATCGAGTGACATGCAGTTTCTTGGTCACTTGGAAGAGAAGGCCAAATTGGCCTCTAAAAAGCTTGGCGTGCCCAGAAGAGTAGGACAGTGTTTCATGCCGGCACACCGCCTGCATCTTTACAAGGCGCAGGTTCGGCCGCACATGGAATACTGTTCCCATCTCGGGCGGGGGCTCCCCAGTGCCAGCTCCTTCCGTTTGATCGCATCTAGCGCAGAGCAGTTCGAATCGTCGGCGACCGAGCTCTTTTCGATCGGCTTGACTCATTGACACTGCGAAGAAATGCTGCATCTCTTTGTGTATTTTATCGCATCTCTCACTGGTAGTGCTTTGAGGAATTGTTCACGACTAATTCCAGCCGCACAATTTCACCGTCGGACATCGCGACAAAACTCGCGATACCATTCATACCATCGGGATGACTGGCGGTCCACCACCGTGCAATTTAAAAGAAGTTTTCTTCCTCGCAGAACTTCCTTGCGGAATCGACTACCACCAGAGATTTTTCTGAACCAATACGTCTTAGAGATCTTCAAGAAAAGAGCCTACTCCTTTTTAAAAGGCCGGCAACGCATCTGCAATTCCCCTGGTGTTGCAGTTGTTCATGGGCGGCGGTAATCACTTACCATCAGGTGAGCCGTACGCTCGTTTGCCCCCTCTCCTATAAAAAAGTGCTGGTCCCATAGGATCTTCAAGGTAAAAAAGTGGTTTATTTGTTTGTTTATGATTTATTGCTATCACTTTTAATAAAAGGGTGAACTTTATGCCTTTTGGTATTCCCTCCCAGTCTAACCCTAGCGTAGTGAAATATAATGGTAGGCACAAAAAAAATGTTATGTTATAGAAACATTAATAAGACTTATTGTACAATCTCCAGGCAGGAAATTATCTTCGCGATGACACGGTATCGAGCACCATACAAATCATATCCGCAGCGCCAACAGAGAGGCAGGCGTATGCTGCGATGCGCCTGTGGACCTCCTTGGAACGCTCTGCAGTCTCAGGAGACGCCACCGAGAAGCAACCACTAGTTCAGGTATATAGTTTCCACATACGGACTATGTCCATTTCCGATTCCATTTTATAAATTAAATATGTCAAGTTTTTGGGAGTTAGACTTCATTATTTTCAATGCTCTTGTCCTAATTTCAAATCTTATATGTTGATTTCTTTGCTATTGTATTTACTACTAAGCTTAAAAAAATATAAAGACTTGAGGTGAGGTCATGTTGGGACATATAATAGTTACTTTATCTCTTTAGTATTTTTCTAATAGTATTGCTGCTTGGAATGTCTGACTACAAACATTGTTTCCCCATATAATACATAATAAGATAAGATAACGATGGGCTGTTTTCCACAACGTCTAAGCGCGTTTTTGCGTGTGGGCTTATATTACATTTCTATATATGTATTATTAATTTTAGGTAGCCGCTTGGACGGTGGGAGAATATGGAGACCTTTTGGTGTCGGAAGCCAGCAATGCTATATCAATGGTTGATGAGGACGGTGTTGGTAAGATTTATTTTAGTAAACTGTACTGTGCTGCTTTATTGGTTGAATATTTTGTGACTTCTGTCACGTTATCTGTTTCCATCATCTTCACTTGCATCACACGTCACATTAACATTCTTGTGATATCCACTGCTGGACATATTCAAGAACATTACAACTTGTTTGCCTTGCATTAAGGCAGCGTCGCAAATTCTTCCCTGCTCCAAAAACCCTGTCATAAATGCGAGAATATATAGAAGATGTAGTGCAAATAGGGAGACATATTTAGATTTACTTTTTCTTTTTTTTAGTAGAATATAATATAATAATATTCTTTATTCATAGTCATCGTAATTTTCAATCAAAATTAAAAGAAAATTATTGAATTCATAATTTAGTTAAAAGAGAAAATAATTCATAATAAAATTCACAGACGACTTCGTTCGGCCAACGGAAGAATATGTGATTGACATTTATCAGAAGCTGTTATGGTCGACTCAATTATCCATCACGACCAAAGAGTATTTACTGCTGTCCCTGGCGAAACTCTCCACAAGATTCACTACTAGACCTAGTCAAGAGTGAGTGTATTGTATTTTAGCCTTAAATCATTCATCATTCTAAATATTTATTTGTTTATTTATATTATATCATTCAGTTTTATATGTATTACGACTGGTATTCAAGTACTAATTATAACTTTCTTTTCAGCAAAATTCGAGTAATTATCGATACCTTTGGCTCTCACATCCATATTGAACTGCAACAAAGAGGGGTTGAGTTGTCGCAACTCTACAGGTATATATTTTGGTTATATTCGTATTTTTCTTTTTTTATATTTCCTTAAGTATTTATATAAAATATGAAACGTTCAACAAACGAAGAAACAAAGGAATAAGCTAACTGAGTGGAGAGATACCTTCAAATTTTACCATTCGTTCATTTAATTCTTAGTTATGAATCTTAATGTTTTACCGGTAGTAGTATAAAAGTAGTAATAAAAGTAAAAGTAATCTTTACGTGGTAGGGCCATGCTGCAGCTATATTGTGGTTGCAGCAAGAATGTTCAGCTCTACCAGGGTAGGACCATGCTCTCACAGAATACCAACGTAAAATTGCAGCTTAATGCTGCTGTGTTTAGTATGTTGAGTATAGAGAACTGGAGACCCTTTTTACTGTAAACAAGGCGTTCCATCTCAATCCTCAAGGCTGGCAACGCATCTGCATTTTGATTCTTAATTGAAAATAAATGTAGATGTCCATGGGCCACAGCATCCACTTACCATCAGGTGGACTGTGTTGACTCGTTTGTCACCCTTATTCTATAAAAAAGAAAACATTATAATTGGTATAAAGAAAAGTTAGCAACCTTAGTTGTTAGACTTATTCTAAAAAATAACTTAGTAAATTCCATGTATTTGCAGGCAATACGCTCACCTGCGGCCCGCGCTGCTGGAGCGGATGCCGGCCATGGAGGCGCCGAGCGGCGGCGCGCGCGACGACAGCGACCCCGAGACCGACGCGCCGCTCGACTCGTCGCACGACGCGCCGCACCACCGCACCGACCAGGTACTGCCCTCCACGACGTGTTGCATGCATTGACTTATATATTACTAGCGTAAGTACCGGGCCGACCGAACAACTAAAACAGACCAGTGCGCTGGCCCTAAAATTACAGTTTATGGCCAACGCGAATCGGTCGACAGTAGTGCGCGCGCAGGACAGATTTTCGAGTATCTATTGACCAGAAAGGGCTAATTCTAATTTTATTTAAAAAACGCGGTACTCATGTACAGTACAGGAATTCTCGATATCGTAGGGTTAATAATAAAATGTAAAAGGACCCAATAATAATACAAGTTGACCTTTAGGTAAAATAATGGTATTTTCACTTAGTACTAGTACGATACTATGTACTAAAAACTATGAAATAATGGTACAATTAGGATAATTATACTACGAAATTATATATACAGACCCTGGTTACGTCGTGTTTTGATATGACGTTTGTATTGCTACTTTTTCTTGTATGAAAAAGTTATGACTAAACTATTTAGATGGGCCTATCCTTCCTTTTGATGTCATTGGTTGCATGACGTGTCGCACGACCCATCACACCACCGCACGGACGCAACGCACCGCACGACGTATCGCATCCGACCATCCGCATTAGCATTTTGCCATTCCTTGCGAAACTGCAGGACAGGATATCGACTGCCTAATGTCACAGACAATATATTAGCTGAATAAGATTCCGGACACAGTACGATTCTAACGCTATTAGACTATTCCCGCGCTTTCGACTGCTTTATTTACCAACTGCTTTTTAAACTGTCATAATTTAGACAAAAATTCGGTCAAGTGGCTCAGTAGTTACTTGAGCAATCGGTACCAATTAGTAAAATTGGTAAAAAGTGATGGGTCTAAAGTACGTTCTCACCCAAGGCTTATTAATCGTGGCGTTCCTCAGGGTTCAATACTTGGTCCACTTCTTTTTGTAATTTATTGTGCTGATCTTGTCAAAGTTATAAACTATTCTATGTACCACTGCTACACTGGTTATGTGCAAGTATATATGTCAGACTCACCAGATAAGTTATCACAAGCTGTCACACGGCTTAACGAGGATTTGGACAGAATTGCTGACTGGTCAATGAGAAATGCTCTTGTTTTAAACCCTTCAAAGTCAAAATATATGGTCTCATGGGCACAAAGACGCAAACAAATAGAATTTGTTGTGATCTAGACGTAAGATTCATGGTAAACATATAATGCGCGTGGATGAAGCCAAAAACCTTGGCATAACTGGGTAAAAAACTTTTATCGCCTAAAGGTTTTTATACCAAATCTGTGACCAAACTTTCTGTACCGTCACGCGTTACTCTTTGCGAGTCATTAGTTTTCTCCAGGCCAAACTTCGGGGATGTTGTGTATGAACCTCGGATTTTCAGTAAAACAAAGCTACTAATACAACGCTTGCAAAATGCATGTTGTCGGTTCTGTTTTTATGTACCCCCCAGAAATGACATTACTCCTTTTCTGAACACTGCTTCTTTGCTCAATATGGACTCACGTAGAGAGCTATATTTAGGAGGGCTTGTCTTTAGTTTTATTTAGTTTAAAAAAACCAGAGTACATGCATGCAAAAATAAAGTTTGCTAAGCAAACAATTGAGGTCCATAAGATCAGCACTCCTGTATTACAGTCGTAAAACAGCGGCATTTACTGGCAGTTTCCTATAATCTTAACACCAATTACAAGTTCGAAAATAAATTCAAAACATATTGTTGCGCGCCATCGTTGATGCCTGGTACATGGCGCATGATTATTAGCGCCATCTAGTATCAAGAAGCAAAATTAGGAGGGTCAAGATCTTTTTGAAGATTCACTAGCGCCATCTAGTATGGAGTAGTAGAACTAGGAGAGCTATCTGGAAAATTCTTTGTTTAGAACTTTCGACATTCTTTTCGAACATTCTAGATGTTTTAGTGGAAAAGGCCCTATATATGGCGCGCGAAAAAGTGAACTAAAGTGTTAGTTTTAATTAGTGTTCGGTAATTAAAGTGTCAATTTTAGTAATTCAATCGGCAGTTTTTATTGTCACGTAACCTAAGCTCGTAACAATATTTTCTAGATAAAGAGAAACAAGATATTCCCAAACACTTCGTTTGCCAGCTATAAACCATGGCATTTTCTTTTTTCTTTTACTAACTCATCATGGTTGGCTAAGCCATTTAGGTACTAGCCTAAACTTGTACGCAGTCTTACATTCTTACACATCCTTTCTGTAATTTCTATTAAATTGAACCCAAGATGTAAGTCGTAGGGCTGAAGGGACATATCATTCACACATATTTACACTGCAATAATATTAACGTGCAAATAAATGTTTTTTCTTTCTTTCTGATTATACTATTGTGCTCATTTTCTTCTCGCCACCTCGAGGGTAATAGCTGAAAATCAGTGTTTGCTCTCTGAGCAATATTAATCGCTGAGCTGATTACCCATTTGTTCAACTGCAACACGCATGTAAATTTAGGTCTTAAGTTTTTTTTAAACTTTTTTTCATAATATTCTGCTTTGTATCTAGTTTAATCACAGAATTTACGTGTGTGATTGGAGAAACAAATAAACGCTTTTATCTATCTATCTATCGCATGACGTGTCGCACGACCCATCACACCATCGCACGAACAATACAGAATAACAGAACTATCGCACAACGCACCGCACGACGTATCGCATGAGCATCTACTGCTGTTGTAGGATACGCCGCAAGATGAACTGCACGCAGCAATGCGTTGTGGTACTACTGTCGCATGCGCTTTATGCAGAATCCGAGCAGCAAGACGCGTAACGACAGATACAGCGAACTGCTTTTATAGTCTTGGTCAAACCAAGTCAATCAAAATAGTCTTGATCTTGGTATTAGCGACATAAGAGAATTCTCGAGTTTTAAAATAATTATTGTACATTTTATTTTCAGGATGCACTGCTAGATCTAATCATCGGATCGGAGCCCATGTCAAACGGCGATGCGGAACACGAGACGCCACCGCCAGCTACGAACAACAACACCTCAACAAGCAATGTAAGGAAAGGAAAAAAGTTACACCCTATATAACTAATTTCTGAGAGGGCTTTAGGGCAAAGCCCCCATGTTGTTGGGAACTTCAATTTCAATATTTTTTTTTCTTATTCCTCAGACCTCCTCACGATCTTTTCTTAACGCCGAAAAAAACATTGCAATTAACAATTACATTGGTGCCGGCGGGGATCGAACCCGGGTTACTCGCGTTCTGTTATATTTACAGCGAGCGTTAACCATCTGAGCTATACACGGCCGAAAGGAAACATGATCTAAAATATTATATTTCCTAAACGGTTGGAGTCTTCTAGTTCTAACCTAATTTCTATTTATCCCTCTTTTATATTCTGCCCTCTGTCTATCTAAGGGAGAAAGAAGGCGCACAAATGCCGATTTTCTATCTATGGTCAAACCACTTTGTTGATATTGCTGTTCCAAATCACAAATCCATGTTATTTGGGTTTGATATTTTAAATATCATTGGTCAGTCTTTACAGATGATTATTCTACATCACTTAAAAGCTCGCAAACAAATTGACATTTTTCTAGAACTTTAATAAATACATGTATAATATAGGCATTAAAAATATTAAAAACAATATACTATAATTGATGACAAGCAACTGAAAAGCATGTGATTAATATTTCACATTAATATTATATAGGAATTGTTTGATCAATCCACGTACATAATATGTATCCAATAACTACTATCGAATTCACTAACTTAAATCCAAAAACTAACCAATGACCGAAATGTAGCTTTTTAATATTGGTGTTACAACCCAATTCAGTCACGTAGTTGGTGGTCTCTGTTGAAAAGAATGGTGGTTTTATTTTTTATGATATTATTAAAGTAAAATTATACTCAGATATTTAAGTATGTAGTAGCAATAGACCGGACATCAGCAACAAAATTGTCGTCTGTAACTTTTGTCCTATAGGATATATCTCCGATTTTGTCATTTAGTCTTAGTGACATCACCGAAAGGTCACGACGCATTCGTTTCATAAATTTAGAAAATATTTTTAAAGAAAATACGCCCGGTTGTGAATTAAGGTATAGTAAGTCACGATATGGAGCAAAAAATGAACATGATTTCTAAAATAATGTAAAAAATATTTAAATAAAAGACTACTAGGCTATCTTAATAAATATAATTTAATTTCAAAGTCGCAGTATGGTTTTCGACAGGGTTTATCTACTGAAGATGCTGTTGGGGATCTTACTAAATTAATTGTGCAGGAAATTGATAAAAATAAAAAATGTATAACAGTATTTTTGGATCTAAAGAAAGCTTTTGATACAGTCTCCGTACCCATAATGTTAAAAAGACTAGAAAGCATTGGCTTAAGAGATAAAACTCTATCTCTTTTTGGCAGCTATCTTAGAAACAGAAAACAGTCGGTAAAAATTGGAACAACTGTAAGTGAAACTGTAAGGCCTCTGCCTCGAATTTTGCGGGCAGCGGGACGGCAGCGGCGGCGGCGCGGGAGCGGCAGGATCTTATACGTAAAATCAAATGGACCGACTCTCGAAAACAGCGGCTTGGCAGCGGCGCGGGGGGCGGATAACGAGCGGTGTACTCCAGTCAAGCGGTGACCGCCCGCGTGTCTGTCTGCATTGCAGTGTTGTGCAATTAATTTTTGTGACGTTTCGAAATGTCCTCGGACGTGCAAGAGCAAATTATTTCAGCAATTTTTGAGAGAACACCGATATGAAACAGCAAAGATGTGAACCATAAAAATAGAAGAGTAATTAACCAGTTATGGGAAGAAATTAAAAACGAACTGAATCTAAATCGCCCTTGATAGCTTCAAGAATATAAGTAGTCAAAAGTTTCTACGCTCATTCTGGTGTAGTCGTAGAATTTGTCGGGACATTGTCTCTGTTCTTCGTAATTTCGATAAAACTCGGCTTTTTTTTCCTTGCCCTATAAGTAGTAGGGATTCACTTCTTCTTTTGCCCACAGTAAATTGAGCGTTAGAAATAAATTTTAATCAAAAAGATGTTGTCGCCGTTGTTCAGACAACACACCATGAACACACTACGCCGCTATAGTGTCGCGCAGTGTCGCGCGATCTGCCCGCTAGTTTCGTGAACGGGTCTGCGTTGCCCGCCCCGCTCCCGCGCCGCCGTCGCCGTCGCTCCGCTGCCCGCAAGATTCGAGGCAGAGGCCTAACTGTTAACTATGGAGTCCCACAAGGAAGTGTGATGGGTCCAACTCTATTTTTGACATACATCAATGAACTATGTAATATGAAACTTTACAATGGGCAGATTTTTTCATATGCAGATGACACTGCCATTGTATTTACAGGAAACACATGGGACTCCGTAAGGAAAGCAGCAGAATTAGGCCTTGCTAGGGTTGCAAATTGGCTCAATCAGAATCTACTAACCTTGAATATAACCAAAACTAAATATATCTGCTTTACTATGTATAACAGCACCCAACCTACACCTGATTTTCATATTAAAATTCACGATTGCTCGGACGTCCAAAGCTCTAGTTGTAAATGCTCCCAAATAAATAAAGTCTCAAATATAAAGTATCTTGGAGTCATGGTTGACCAACGACTATCTTGGTATTCACATCTAGAATTAATGGAAACTCGGCTCAGAAAACTTATTTGGATATTTAAGTCCCTACGACATGTCTCCACAAAGTCTTTACTTAATAAAATATACATAGCTCTGGCTCAGTCAACTTTGGGCTACTGTATTCCTATATGGGGTGGTGCAGCAAAAACTAGGTTCCTTGAGCTTGAAAGGGCTCAAAGATGTTTAATTAAAGCTATGTACTTAAAGCCCTATAGATTCTCTACAACTGAACTTTATGAATGGAGTAATTTACTTTCGGTAAGAAAACTTTACATTTTAGCAACAGTTTTAAAACTTCATAGTTCCATAAATTACCACATATCTTCAATCACCAGACGTAGAAAATATAAAATACCCTACGAAGATTCATTTAAGACTAAGTTTGCCTCAAGACAGTATACTAGACGTTCAGTTTACTTATATAATAAAATAAACCAAAAAATCAATATTTACTCTATGAATTACCATGACTGTAAAAAAACAGTAACAGACTGGTTAAGAAAACTTTCCTACGAAGAAATCGAATTCCTTCTCGAAAACACTGCTTTATGAATTTTTACACTCATACAGACTTCCCATGCTCATCCATACACACACACACACACACACACACACACATTTTATCACACTATCACGCAAACAACCCTAATTATACCTTACATGCAGTTGTGCTTTGTTTAGCTTTTGATTTTTTTTAATGTTTTTTTTTTGTTATTTTATTGTTTTTGTGTCATATACTTAATTATAATTTAAAGTAGTAATATAATTGTAATAAGGAAGAGCGGGGCCCTCTACTACAGGTATCTATTTACTTAAAAGAGGGTGCCCAACAATATTGTAACAACTTACTACTTGTTTTAAAGTAATAAATTATCATTATCATTATCATTTTGGTTTATTATCCTAAGAATAATGTATATTTACCAAATAATCTTTAAATTTTACTGTTTCTGGTAGATTGTTCTAGAAGAAAGAAAAATTATTGTAATAAGTGCCCTCTTTTATCCAGTAACGTTACTATTTATTTAGAAATATGTTAGTAATTGACGACGTGTCTAAAACCGATTTTAACTTATATTTAGAAGCGTCACCTAATGGGAAATAGCTAAAATGTTTTCCAAATAAAAATTCAGCGTAGTATTGCTATTTTTCGCTAGAGGGCTTAACACACGCCCGTGCTCACAGTTTTTGTATGCAGATGTTCCGAATGTCCTCTCTATAGTATATAAGTATATATATATATATATATATATATATATATATATATATAGTAAAGTAAAAGTAAAAAGTTACAGCCTATATACGTCCCACTGCTGGGCACAGGCCTCCCCTCATTTGTGAGAGGGTTTTAGGGCAAGGAAGTGACCGCCGCGCTACCCTAATGCGTGCTGGCGAACTTCACGTCTGCGAGAATATTTTTTTTCTTATTCCTCAGACATGCAGTTTTCCTCACGATGTTTTCCTTCACCGCCTAGCACGTGGTAAATCAACACTTAAAATTGCAATTAACAATTTCATTGGTGCCGGCGGGGATCGAACCCGGGTTACTCGCGTTATGTTATATTTACAGCGAGCGTTAAGCATCTGAGCTACCACGGCTACTATATATACTATATATGTACACACACACACACACACACATATATATATATATATATATATATATATATATATATATATATATATATATATATATAAATCTCTTTGATTATACTTATTGTGTTGATTTTATTGTTTTTAGGATATCCTAGACCTGCTAAGCGGGCTGGACTTGAGTACGCCGAGTGTCACCGCGCCCGCGCCGACGCCAGTCACAAACAGCGTTCCAGCATCCAACTTGCTGCTAGACGGGTTATTCTCCACGCCGCAACCCACTGCACCTACTGGTGCACAGACCGGTGAGCCTAAATATATAATTTACCATAAGTTTTTTTCCGGAATTATTTGTATTAAGCGCTTGTTTGTTGTGTATACCCCCGTCTCTGGAAATTATTAGACTCATTTAACATGTATCAAGAGCGATTTAACCTTTCAAGTGCCATAAAAATCTCATGCAGTCGCATGCGACCGGCAAATCCCGAGCGATCGGATGCGACCGCACCCACCCACAGCACTTAAAACCATTAAAACTTATATTTAGAGACTACTTTCTATGAAGAAGTTTAGTATTATAAAATCTATACAAAATTCTCTATCTTGTGGTCTAAACAAAAGTCAGGTTTTACTTCATTACAAAAAGATTTTATTGTATTTTAATAACAAAAAAAAACATACCATCGAATGTCGGCAGCGTGAAAATCACAATCATTTCAATATATATTACGCAAAATTATTTACTTAAAAAGATAAATTAAACTCACACAAAAACTTTCAACAATTTTATAATAAAACACTATACTAAAACACTAATAAAACACTAGAAAAATCCAAAAATCAACACAATAACATTCACGCGAAAATGGCGTATGAAATGAACGTAGATTATAAATAAATATTCATAGGATAACAGTTTTTTTATTGCACTAGAGGATAGAGTGTTTCATATTGATTATATAATGCCCAACTTCTTCATAGAAAAGTAGTTATATAAGTTTTTAGAGTTAAAATGCTGTGAGTGGGTGCGACCTCATGAGACCGATAGGGATTTGACGGAATATAGCAGTGGTCTCATGAGACCGCTAGGTCGAGAGGTAAAACCAGTTTCAGACCCAGGATTTGAACCCAGGATTCACATCAGTCATCCAAACAATAAGTTGCACGTTTATTTGTTACAGCCTATAAAAGTGCATTGCTGAAAATAAACCTAAAAATAGGCTTATTGGTAAGCACAGTTTGATGCTACTGTCCATGTCCATTCTAATCTCGCTCACACTGACGTCCGGGATATAATCGGAATAGTGTTGGACAGGATTTACTTTTGCTTCGTTACTCACACTTGCGTGTGGCTCCAATGATGATATGTATAGCTGCCCATAGAACCACTCAATCTCACTCAAAATCTCAGGTGTCCTGGAAACGACACTGCCACACTTAGTCTTTAGCTTTGACACATGGCTCTTTCTGGCAAAGACTTTGGGAGTCTTGGTTTTGCTCGATCATTTTTTCCTTGTATTTTTCCTTTGTAGCCACTTACGAAACTCACGGGACATTATGGGTTACTGGATATTTTTACACTGCCATTACACAGCTTATTTGGTCTTAATTTATGTGTAACATGTAATGCTCTAGAAAGTCTGCAGTTTGTGAACACGTACAAGATCGCTCCAGTCACTACATGAGATTTGATAGACCACAAATTCTTGCTAAAGAATACCAATTTCTTCTAAGGATGATTTATGGGGCTATTGAAACCAAACGAATATCCTAATTTCAATAGAATGACAGCTGACTGCCACCATATTATGCTTAGGATTCTATAATCAATAAAATTAAATAACAGCCAACCCAACCCAAGTATACAACTGCAACATACTAAAAAAGAATACTGCATAGATGTGATCAGAAATTAAAAAATTTAATTTGAAGGTAGCCATGGTTACCTAAGACATTACGAAGTCTAACATCTGGGTACCCTTGTCACCATAGATGCTGTAAAGTGCTGAAAATGTGGGAAATTAAAAATAAGTTATGTACGGCCCATAGAGATCTACATCAATCCTTGATCACGGAACAAAATGCAGATGCGTTGTCCCCTGTGAGCACTAAGATGGAATGCCTCTTTTCCACTAAAAAGGGTCATTGGTTTTCTACACTCACCATACGAAGCACAGCAGCTTTAAGCTGCTATTTTACGCTGGTATTCTGTAAGAACGTGGCTTTCCCCGGTCGAGCCGTCCCATTCGTGTTACAATTATACAGGGTGTTAGTGTGAACACCGTTATCCTTGAAACCAGTGGTTTGGTTTCACTTATAGAACGTAAATTTAATTAATTTAAAAAACGCTATTTTCTTTCATAAATTTTAAAAAATTTCTGTCCGACACCGTCCGTAAATTCATGGATACCCTATGCGCCCGAGTGACGTAATCACTGTAAAGATCACCGTCCGCGCTAGCTACCTACACAACATTCAACATAAAAACACAATAGGTACACATAACCTGTGATGTAACTTTTCCTTCATGCTTTCATCCTTGCTTGGCAGCAGGATTTAAGGAAAAATTGAGATTTTATTTTACAAAAAATGTCATTTTTCATTGAATGTACGTTTTATAAGTGAAACCAAACCACTGGTTTCAAGGAAAACGGTGTTTACAATAACACCCTGAAAAGCTGCATCATGGCCCTACCACGTAAAAGTACGCGATAAAATCCGTAAAAAGTAGTTTTTAAAGTGCGTGTAACATTTCAGAAACTCGGGTGAGCGCACTGGAGCGCAACGGACTGCGCGTGGAGTTCGTGGTGGCGCGAGGCTCCGCGCCCGGCAGCGCCACGCTCACCATGCGCGCCGCCTCCAGCGCTCGCGCCGCGCTCACTGACTTCCTGTTCCAGGCCGCCGTGCCCAGGGTATCGACTCATACAACTTCACACACCTGCCATTTGGCTATATCAACTCGTTCAACTTTCCGCTGTTTTTGGGTATTGAGAAGCAGTTGGTATTAATAAAAGGAATCGTCAAGTGTGGGTAAAAAGCAAAGCTACAGTCTATATGCGTCCCACTACTTAGTACAGACATTCTTTTGAGGTCTATGGAGCAAATGGTCTGCTCCGCTCATCCCATTGTATTGAAGTGCGATTTGTGCTGGTAAAAGAATCATCAGATCTCATTTCTTAGGTAACATAGTGAAGTCTATATATATAACGTATACGCCACACTAATAAGCACTCCTCGTATTTCTGATATGGTTATAGAGCAGTTCATCTGCTACGCTGTTCCAATATGTGTTGGTGGACTTCTTATTACTTAAAAATTATTTCTTTCTCAGACTTCGTTACAATTTTCTCTTTTACTGCAATGTATGTGGTAAATAACTTTAATTGTAGTTAACAATATCATCATTGGCTCAGCAAATTTCCCCCTGGGTTACTCACATACTGTAGCCGGAAGACTGTGAGAAATAACATCAATGGTCAACTATAAACTGTTATTACTGAAGAGAGGTCTACAAACATAAACCCAGTCAATCTGTTCCGTTAAGAATATAGATAACCTATAAGCTTGATAATACACGAAAAAACATCATCAGCCAATAGTCCTATATTGGAAAATAAATAAATAGCTCAAAATAATAATAAATTTATTTACCGAGTAAGTTCTCTATGAAACTAGGCAGATAGCTTGGCAAATTATGTGTACACTAGTCTTAAATTTTGGATGTATTTTTACCATCAATCGCTCATTAGAAGTTGGTCCGTCAATCTACAAAGTGCGTCTACATGAAGTCCACAGTTAGAAATACTTAGTCTGTAAAATGCAACCACTGTTTAAAGACCTTACAATTGGGAAACGAATGTGCTTGTGCAGAGCAACGGTGGGGGTAGGGCGCGGCAGGGGGCGGGCCGACATTATGCTAGCGTACTTTACCGAGTCTGATAGACAATACATGCGGTTGGCGCGAACGTGTTACTTAGTACTCATTTAACTAATGTTAAGAGCCCTCTTACATTACGGAGTTACGCCAATTTAAGTATTTTACGCTCCGAGCGGGCGACGACCTACGCGAGCGATACTTTATTTCATATAATCTATTCACTCGCTCGCACTATGATACTCTGAGTATAGCGACTAAGCGATCTTGGTCTTCCACTTGCTCTTCTTCACAAGTTTTCTTAGGATGGAGTTCAGTGGATGGAAATTTTTTGGTGTGTCATTTTTATGTTATCTAAATATATCTATTATAATATATTTGACATATTTTCCATTATTTATGCACCTTAATGTTGAAATAAGTACACATAAATATTTTTATTGTTTCACAGGAATTGATTGTTAACCGATGTTGGTTAATAATCGATTATATCTAACAACGGTAGCATAGTGGTACAAATAAATAAATAGTACGGTTGCAACCTGTTTTAAATAAAATAACCAACTGTAACGATTATTTTTTAATCGATACTTACAGTCAATTACTATCTTTTTTATTATAAAAATATTTGCCGCAACGGCATTGACCGAGCTTATCTCGAGTCAATAATTCCAGGCAGTACACGCTTTTTATGAAACGCTTCTAACTTGAGTAACATATTCAAAATTCAAAATTTGTCGTCTTTGTGGATTTTTATTCTCCATTATTATTTCTCCAGAAATTGGATATTTCTTTTTTTACGTTGAGTGACACATTGATACTTGTATTTATTTTTCCCCATTCCGACTGGCTGACGAATAACTCTTAATGAGTTAACTATCTCATATATTAATAATGTGCGCACTTTATACTTATTGAAATGTAATGTACGAAGGTAAATACTTCCAACGATCAAAAACTGAATGTACGAAGGTAAATACTTCCAACGATCAAAAACTGAATGTACGAAGGTGAATACTTCCAACAATCAAAAACTGAATGTACGAAGGTGAATACTTCCAACGATCAAAAACTGAATGTACGAAGGTAAATACTTCCAACGATCAAAAACTGAATGTACGAAGGTGAATACTTCCAACGATCAAAAACTGAATGTACGAAGGTGAATACTTCCAACGATCAAAAACTGAATGTACGAAGGTAAATACTTCCAACGATCAAAAACTGAATGTACGAAGGTGAATACTTCCAACGATCAAAAACTGAATGTACGAAGGTAAATACTTCCAACGATCGATTTAAAAAGTAAAAATCGTAGTATAGTTTAAGCAAATGTTCATGATCATTTTGGTATAAATTTTACGTCAAAATGATGTAGAACTTCGGAGATATTGGGGCTTGTATCGAAGCTTTTTCGGTCGTTAATTGAATTATGTCGATCTTTTTTCCTTACGTGAAAGGCATATTAAAACGAAATTGTATTTTATCATTAATAAAGTATAGTATATTTATGAGATAAAAATATTTTATGATGGTCGATATTCAATAGAAACTACAAATTAGTGCTCCCAAATCATGCGTCAGAGTTTTGGCCTAAACATGCACCAGGAGATTGATTATTAATAAATAAGTTGTCTAAAATTTGCCGTGAGCTTATTCTTGTAGAGAAAACGAACTATTTTCGCCAAGTAATTGTTATTTCAAGCAACGATCGAAAAACATAATTTCAACGAGGAAACCTTGTAATTTTGCGTTTTTTTTGTAATACTCTTAAGTGCGGTTTTCGAAAAATATAATAACTATAATGGTGAACTATTGTTATAGTTATATAAGTTACTACTAAAATTGAATTCAAATGACGGCTATGCTAATGTTTCCGTAATTTTTTTTATTTTCATAAAATTGTTTATCCGAATGCGAATACATTACATAATTGAATTTAACAATCCATAACTGGAAACATCTATAAAAAGAAAGTGTTACGAAAATTTTGGGAAACATATGTAAATGTGTTTTTCTTGTAGTATTAAAAAAATGATCTTGTTCAATAAACGTTTTTAACTTATAAGTTAGTGTACGTTAAACATCGATAGACTATCGATGGTATCGATAGTAAATGGCTGTCGATACTATCGATAGTTTTTAAAACTATCGATCGATTGTTTACTCGGGTACTACTTTTACATCCCTAGAGTCGAGGTATGCATGTATGTAAGTTATTCCCCGGCTATAGTGACAAAGGTATAGACATTGAGATTGTTCTCTATGGTAGGGGAATTACCGTGCGTATATCATACATTCAAAGGCGTAGACATTGAGATTCTTCTCTATGGTTGGGGAATTACCGTGCGTATATCATTCATTTACAAGACAAAAGTCAGTCAGTCAGTTTTTTATTGTGGATGTTTGAAGTTGAGTGGAGTAACAAACAATTTAGAATTAAACAATAAAACATGAGTAGTAAGTCACGTGCGTGGGATTACTTCAAAAAGACTAATGAAAAGTTTGCCAAGTGTTCTTTGTGTAAAAGAGAGTTTAAACTAAGTGGAAATACTACGAACTTGATCGATCATATGAAGAGAAAACATAATGAGGTATGGATGTGGTCATCCACTGTTTCTGTTACTCAAGACGTAGATACCACTGAGCAAAATGAGAAAATGGGCCCAAGCCCTAAAAAGAGAAATACGCTAAAAAATTATTTTGATAGAAGTAGTAAATATCCAGATGGGAAAACAAAGCAAAATTTGGATAACAAATACGTGCGCATGATTGCTGTTGACATGGAACCTTTGCGAAAAGGAGAACATGAAGGATTTCGGGATTTTGTAAATGCTCTCGATAGTAGATATGAAATTCCTGATACAACAATATTGAAAAAGAAATTACTGCCGGAATATTATGAAAACGTGAAACAGAAGCTCGTCATAGCATTATCGAAAGCAGAACATGTTAGTGTGACTACTGACTTATGGACATCAATTGCAAATGAAGGCATCCTTTCAGTTACTTGTCATTTCTTTCACAACGAAAAATTAATTGCACCATTATTGGAAGTTGTGAAGATGGAAGGAAGTCATAACGCAGAAAATATAGCCAGTGTAAGTATTTTTAAATTTTATTGCCTTGATACCTACCAATTCAGTGTTTCTTTATAATCAGACATAAACAATATTATTATTGTTTTCAGATGTTGGATGCTACTCTCTCAAAATGGGATATCAGGTCAAAATGTGAAGCAATAACGACTGATAACGCTCAAACAATGATTAACGCCGCAGCCAAACTGCATATACGACATATACCCTGCTTTGCGCACACACTAAACCTGACGGTAAGTGATTCGTTTGCTGTGACCTGCTTAGACCAGATTCTGAAAAAATGTAAATCGATTGTGACTTTTTTCAAGATGAGTACTCTAGCTAGCGATAAATTACGGGCTATTCAACGTGAATTAAATAAACCAGAACTGAAAGTGATCCAGGAAGTACCCACCCGCTGGAACAGTGCATACCACATGCTGCAAAGAATTGTTACAATGAAGACAGAATTAACTCTCGCACTTAATGAATGTAATCGGGCTCCACCAGGAGTCAATGCTGACGAATACCTAATTATTCAAGAAACAATTCAAATTCTGGAACCTTTCGATCTAGCTACAACAAAAATTTCCGGAGAAAGCTATATAACATTGTCACTGATAATACCATTGATTCGTGGAATAAAAACGAAATTAGTAGAAGTTGAATCTCAAATTGTTACTGAAAGCGGAAACAAAATATTACTCTGCATGAAGGGATCAGTTGACAAAAGACTAAGTCCCTATGAAAGCAGGACACCTGTTGTACTTGCTACAATATTGGACCCCAGATTTTAGAAGAAGGGGTTCAAAACAAGTGACGACGAGAAGCGAGCTGGTCAGTGACTGGAAAAGGCCTATGCTAGCCATTTAACTAAAGAACGCTTGGCTGTAGAAGAAACGCAACCAACACCATCCACGTCTTCAGGAACATCTAATGACCTGTTGGGATTTCTAGACGTTCCGGACGTATCGACCCCGTTGAGTAACTCATTGGTAGATGTCAGGCAATATCTCGGGAAGCCAGTAATTGACAGAAAAGAGTGTCCTATAACATACTGGAAATACACCAACAATAAAATGAAGGAATTAGCGATGCTCTATCTCTGTATTCCAGCATCTTCTGTGCCTTCAGAACGAATATTTTCGAAGGCCGGACAAATTTTAACCGAACGCAGAAATAGGTTAAAAGAAAAAAGATTAAATGAATTGTTGTTTATAAAACAAAATAGCTGTTATTTTAATGATTGATTTCTAACTATAATAATGATGAATACTGATTTTTGATTGTTTGATTGTTATTTCGAATATATATATATCAAAATAAAATTCTACGTTTCGTATAACATTTGTTATTTTATTGATGTTACGCTAATCCTACAAGTTTTTAAACTATCGATAGACTATCGATACTATCGATAGTTTTTAGTTAAACTATCGATACTATCGGATTACCAAACTATCGATGTTTAACGTACAGTATTATAAGTATGTACACAATGTTAATAAATGATAATGAGTATTATAATATCAAAAATTATTTCATTTCTATTTTCGTGACAACCCCTAGCGGCATCGCCTGACATACGCGTTTTACAATTATAAGGTCTAAACTGTGATAAAACTGTAGTGTAACCAAGATGTTGAGGTGGGCGGGGAACATAATTTTTGTCCCCATATTCATTTAAAAAAATATTTTTACTATTTAAATTATTATTTTTTTTACATTTGTAGACGTTCCGGCTGGACATGATGTCGCCCTCGGGCACAGTTTTAACGCCACAAGGTGAAATCACGCAAGTCCTGAAAATCACAAACCCGTCCAGGGTAAGATAATATATTTCCTAGTATTACAATTGATATATCACAATTGAGAGGCATGACTCGCACTCGCCATACGCGCATACTCTAATTATTTTTTCCTAGCAAATTGCAACCAATAAATTTTGTTAAAAATGGAAATAATCTCAGCACATCTAGACTTTTAAAACTAACAATTATTGACGGACTTCACATGTCCTTAAAAATTTGCACATGATTAATTAGCAGTGTTTTGACTAGCGATGAACAATTTCATTAGAGCCAGCGGAACTCGAACTGGGGTTTGGGTCTTATCTTACTTAATGATATTTTCGGCTATCTGACCCTTAAATTACCATGGCACTATTTTTCTTTTATAACCATTTCTCCTTTTTACCATGGTTTTATCAAGTCACTTTCTTGTTTATCTGTCTATTCTTCCAGGTGGAATTTAGTCATTTTTTTTAAAATACCTTCCTGATGAGTTGAATACTTGAAATTTTGAATATAGTTCAAATTCAAATGTATAAAGAAAATAATTTAAAATTTTTCTATATTAGATTTTACGTTTATTTTATATTGAACGTTTCAGACCCCTCTACGATTACGGATAAGAGTATCTTACAACATGGAAGGGGAGCCAGTATTGGAACAAGCGGAGGTGAACAACTTCCCGCCGGATCTGTTCAACTGACGAGTGGCCAACCCGCCCGGCTACTGTCTATAGCCGCGTTGACACGGCAAAACGCGCGGTACACATCGCCAATATACAATATTCAACACTAATCTAGTATATTGCGACTCACATTGGCCTTTGTGACCTACACTATTCAGTCAGTATTGGACAATATGATCGGAAATGTGTAGGTAATGAATGATCAATGCCTCGTCCTCATCAGCCACCAAACAGTCCACAGCTGGACATGTGCCTTTACTGTATGGAGATTTTTTGTAGTCTTTGATACTACTTCCTGTTGCTTGTCTTGGTTGTTTACATTTGCCTCGTCTATGAGCATACTCATTTGTAAAAGACCGGTAACGCGCTTACAAATCCCCTGGTGTTGCAGTTGTTTATGGGCGGCGGTAATGACTTACCATCAGGTAAGCCCTATGTTCATTTGCTCCTCTATTCTATAAAAAAAAACCACAAGATGAGATGTAGTGATGAATTCTATAATGCCGCTACCGCCCAGTTGATTATCATCTGGCCAGTATTATTGCCTATGACTTAGGAAGCCAAGCAGTAATCATGTATTATTGCAGTTGTATAATCACAGTGATCATTGAAATCTAATTTCCGAAAATAATAATGAATAAATACAAAAATGACTTAGCCAATTTTTGCATGTAGCATCGGATGAGGCAAAAAAGATACAGAATTGTTTCTTATACTACACTCGGCGTCAAAAAAATCGCACATACGAAAAAAATAATTTAAATACTATTTTAACACAACAGGCCAATGGCAATGTTGTGGTTTGAAGGTATCATTCGAAAGGTAATTTCATTAGCTTTCAGGAATTTAAATTGAATTTTACTTTTATAACGAGACGAAAGAGAAATTAAAGAAAAAGACAGGGTATGTACAAATTTGCAAATTAATAATTTAAAAAAAAAACTTAATTAATACAAAAAAAGTTCTTAAAACCTAGTGTTACCCCCCACCCCTTGCCTTGATAACGGCTTCCATGCGATCTTTCATGGACCTTACAAGGGTCGCAACAGCCTCTTGGGGTATTTGTTCCCACTCTTCAAGTACCGCATCTTGGAGCTCTTGAAGAGTGGTTGGAGCTGGATCTCGAGCTCGCACGCGCCGTTTTAGGTCATTCCAGAGATGTTCTATTGGGTTAAGGTCTGGACTTTGTGCTGGCCAATGCATAACAGGGATATCGACCTCCTGTAAATAATCCCGTACAATAGCCGCGGTGTGGCAACGAGCATTATCATGCATTAACATGAATCCATCACAGACATAACCAGCATACGGGACCACATGTTCCTCCAGGATTTCAGTAATGTACCGACCAGAATTTAATGACCCTTGCCCACGGCCACCCCGAGTCCGGGAAACGCACACAAGTTCCGTTTTCCCGTCGACGGAAATGCCGCCCCAAAACATACACGAGCCACCCCCGTATTCGATGGATTCTTCGAAGCAGGGTTGTATGAACCTCTTCCCCTGTCTTCTGTAGACCCTTCTACGTCTGTCATTGCAAAAGAGACAGACCCTCGTCTCATCAGAGAAGAGTACGGTCCGCCACTGTTCTAGAGTCCACTCGCAATGATTGCGAGCAAACTCTAGGCGATCTCTGCGATGCTGTGCAGTAAGTTTTGGACCTTTAGCAGGTCTATGGGCTGTTAAACTCTTTTCGTGTAACCTTCTTCTTATCGTAGAAACACTCACAGATGTTCTCCGAGTTGATCGATGCTGTTGTTGCAACTCAACAGCATTTGTAAAACGGTTTCGTAACGATGAAACGGTAATCTCTTTCTGATGTGCACCGTTTTCTTCCAGATCCCGGTTTTCTAACATAACCACCAGTCTGCTGAAAACGTTGGAACACCCATCGAACTGAAAAACGGGACAGGTTCAACTGTCGAGCAACGTCACACTGCCGCATCCCCGACTGCAATAGGGCAATCACTTGAGCGGCTTCTTCAGAGCTGGTGTCCATCTTTACTTGTTCTTACTTGGGTTACTTGTTATGTATTTTTAATATCCCTTTTATACTCTTTTTAGGTGGTGTAACTGGCGTCCTTACTAACGAGCATTTGACAGTGTATATTTATGACGCTCTATAATGATAAATGTTTTAATGATTTCATGATTTTTTTATTAATAATGTAAAGCTATTCAAATACCCATTTCAAACATACCAATATTTATATAAATATAATTCGTTTCTAGCCATTACAGCCATTTTTCGCGCAAACTCAGAGAGGTGCGATTTTTGTGACGCTGAGTGTAAATCAATGAATTTTATAACAATGGCAGCTTTCTTCTTTCTAGTATTCGTTTCCATTGCATAAGCTCATATGTATGGTTTGTTTGTAATAATAGTATTCGTTCAGCGAATATGTAGGTCGATGGTTCAATCAGCCAGTTCATTGGATGGCTGAGTTCTTAGGTAATCGCTGAATGCATAGCGTTTTGGTCGATTTACAGTAATACAATAAGTTTTAACGTATTGCTTGGAGAAAAGCAAACTGTTATAATACGTCAGAATTAATAAAAACAGCATTGACGTTTAATTTTATTCCTATTTCTGTGTTATAATTTACTACTTCGGCCACTACAGCGGTACCAAGATGGCGTCAACAGCAAATCTAATTTCAGAAAACACAAAATTTACTTACAGATAGTGGCAATGTAATCAAATTTTAACATTAGTTTGAAATTTAATAAAAATGAAATTTCGGCTGAGCTTTCTTTAGACATTCAGATTGAAAGTTGACAAAATTCTTTACCATCCAATTAAATGTCTGATAAAACCATTGGACCGTATTAAAAGAACACTAAACATTTTAGATACTGAACCCAATATTGTGCTTGTTGTGTTGTGTTGTTTTAGTCGTTATTAATAGAAACATTGCAAGTGAATAATTATTTCTTTTTTACCCACAACTGGGTGTAAAATAATGTCAATGTATAATTAGGTAATAGTTGTCACTTTTTAGAGATTTAATTTAACATTCCACTTTTAGATATTTTTACTAAGACATTTACCCTTAAGTCTGAAAATGTTAGGGCCCAAGATTGTGAGTCGTGGGGAATAAATACATTCTAAGTATAGGAACAGTTGTATGGCAATATGGAGGGATATGTGATTTAACTATAATTGTGTGGTCAATAAAATAAAAACAATATGTAGCGAACATTATAATATCATATTAACTGCTACCATTGCTGCAAATGGTCTGAACAGTATTTTATCAATTTGTTTTGATGTATGTAGAAATATACAGACATAATTTATGTCTCCAAAATATGTTTCAAG